AAAGCGCGCAGGACTCCAAGGAGGAACCGGGAACATTCAGGAGCGCGGCCGAGCTGAAACGCGCAGTGGAGAAAACGAGCGGGGCGCACGGCGGGCAAAGCGCGCGAAAACACAAAGCAAAGCGCATAGTGCGCTGCAGCAGGGCACGGCACGGGACGTGCGGAGCGCGCAATGGACGGGGCACCGATCGCGTGGGGCACGTGGCGCAGAGCGCGTAGGACGCAGCGCGCGGAGCGCGCGGCGGCGAATGTGTGCGCAGCTTGCATGAAAAAGCAGGCAGAACGCGCCGCCGAGAAAGCGCGCAGAGGGCACAGGGAGCGGGACGGAACACGGGGGATTGGCGTGGGGGCACAGGGCGCGCGCGGTGTGAGGAGTGCGGAGCACACGCAACAACGCGGAGCGCGTGGGTAAAGCGCGCAGGCGGGCAAGTGACAGCGCGCGAGAAGACTGTTTAAAGCCTGGGCCGCCGCGGGAAACATAACAAAACACATGAAAGGCTGCACTCACTGCGCTCAGCTTCCCTATAGGACTGGCCCTTGCGCTGAGCGTCAACACTTACAGCTCCGCTACCAGATGCGCCATGGTCACTTTCTTCATACGGCAGGGCATCCCAGGCCGCTTCACAGCCCATCTACCACCGTCTTTTCTTCATTGCTGGTGAGGCACCGCTCCCGCCAAATGGGGGCTATCCTGAATGAACTTTCCTTGAAACCTACCAATCGCCAGCCTTGAACGCTCCGGTCGCGGCCACAGCGGGGCCAGTGGCAAAACAAGCTTGGAAAACTTTGTAAGCTCTCCCTATATTCTTGGACCCTGGCTTCAAGTTCAACACACGTAGACTTTCAACGAGAAAAGCTTTTAGGCAATCGAAGCCCTTTCGGTCAGGGGCCAAGGGCGTTCGCTTGGCGCAGCCCTTGGGGAATCAGGAAAGCCGCTGCCTGCGCTGCATGTGGCACATATGTAGCCCCACGAAGCCGGCTCTTCTCCGGGGCTTGTGCCTCTGTGACTTAGCGATGGCATGCAATGGCGAATCCATTAACAAAGTTGCCACAAAGCCGCCCAATCGCGAACAACGACGACTTTCCAGATGAGAGCGGGCCTCACCCTCGCGCGCAGCTAAGCCAGGGACTTAAGCCACAACGTGGTCTCAAGCATAAGCACGTGTGATGGCCAGGCAGGCTCGTGGCATCCGGTGCCCCCGCTAGTCCACTGCAGGTCAAGATGAATGCCTGACAGGTTCGTCAATAATCATGGCCGGTAGTCGGCCGACAAGGCTGCAGCACATGCCCACGCACGACACTGGTATACCGGCAGCGCATGTGCGTCCAACAAGGGTTCAGCCATGCGTGCAATTGTTAGCACACTCGCGGGCCAATCGCCGGCCTTTCGCGATGCAGGTTTTCCCATGCGGGGCACAACGAAAAGCATTGCCCGGATACTAAAGTCGGAGACATGCATGTGCGGACGACCCCCCAATGGAAAACGCCATCCTCATCTTATATAAATGGCCTTGCAACACACGCGATCGGCGCATGCGCATGCTGCCACGCAAACAGATCATTGCCTTCTTCCCCTCGAAGAATTTCACTGAGATGGCCTGCCCCAAGCCGAAACAAAGATGCCAACAAGAAGCTTCAAATGGGGAAGGGTATGCTGGAGGGGATATTCTTCCAATGTATGCTTCGCGGGTTTGCTTCGCCCGAGTCCCATCGATCACCTTTTCCATGCAAATGCGCAGTGCGCCCGCCGAAAAAGTTTTACGATTTTTGGAAGCAATATTCAAGTGCGCTGCGCGCAGGTTTCGTGGCAAGCGCACACATCCCGCAATACTGCGAAACGGGCGGTTGCGAGCCCCTGGCCTTCGCACCGCCTCCAAGATGTCCGTGGATGCGCGAAGTGACCTCAAGCAGGAACCAGAAAACGTCTCCAGTTCGCAGCGGACACATTGGCCGGCCCCTGTTTCCCAAGCTCCTAAGGTATAACGTGGTTGCCTCCAAACATGTGGCAGCCAGAAGTTACACGGCATTAGTTCACGTCACAGCAAAGCCCAAGATTCAGACATCATCCAAAGAATTTTACTTGGGGGAGAGGGCTGAATGATAAACAGCGCCAAACGTATCTAGAGATGGGTCAGGCTTGTAGCATCACAATTGAACTTGTCTTTACATCACAAACCTGATGACAGCTGCTGGCCTAAATTCGCCAATACCATCTCTCCTGAGAATTGGTTTGCCAAGCGCCTGTCAGAAGGAAATCTCCATCCACAGCCCTCGTGCCAAAAGACAATGATTTGCCGATATGGCTGCGACCGCTGAACAAACAAAGCAAGAGATCTTCTTCCTTGGGCCGCTACCACATTTCATTTTGCTAACAACTGATCGCTTTCAAGCAGACAAATTGTTGCACTTGGCGCGCGCCCTGCCAAGCCAATGACCCTTGATTGAACATGCTGCCTGTATGGCCTCTCAAACTGGTAGGTCAGGCAGTGAGTTTGCTTTTATGTCGCTCTTGCCGCGGCAGCCGAAGATGTTGTTCGATGTTTCTGCGTAAATAGCTCATGCTGATGAGCTTGCATTTTTCGTAAGGACTCCACAGCAGACTTGGGCTCCCAACGGCAAATAGTAAGCAATCAAACAAATGTGAGAATCGCCACCAAACAAAGCCAATCTAATCGCATTGCCTCGCCAATTTAGCAAGCCTTGGGCTCGAGCACAGCTAGCATTCTGCAAACCTGGTTTGCTATCAAAAAACGGCTGTCCAAATGATACGTGCAAGCCAATCAAGACAAGCCGCAAGTTGTAAGGATAAACTCGCGATAAGAAACAAGAAAGAGACAAGGCCTTAAGCTGAAACAAGCTGAAGCCAAAGCAATGGCGCACCAGACCAGCGCCACCGCCCATCCACGGAATGGCCAAGCTTTTGCTATGGACGCTGCGGCCAGGGGCCCCGGGCTTTGCAGTCATCAGACAGGCGCCGTCCCACACCCCGGAGCCAAAAGAGTGCCTCTTTGTTCTCGGCTGCGTTTGCGACAGAAAAACATGTACCGAAAAACATGTACCCAGGGACGTGACAGCTGAGCACAAATTAAAAATTGCACCAAATGCACACCAAGTTAAAAAACTCCCTGCGCCCTGGGGAAGTTTTCATCTTTTACAGACATATAGCCCATGAACTTGGTGTCGGTTCTTGTGGTTTGGGTTCAACTGTGGTTTGGTGTTTGTGGTTTGTTGTTTGTGGTTTGGTTTTTGTGGTTTGGTTTGGTTCCCTTTGGGCGGGCTCCGAAGGGTTCGCGCTTGTTTGCAGAGCCCGTGGCTTTGGGTGGTTCAAAACTAGGTCCTCCGGATTTGAGAGGTTAGACTAAGTGGGTACCAACTTTTCGGTTTTGTCTATTTTAGTAGGGTCCCGAACTGAGAAAAATAGAAAATCAAGGACTGCCCTGCCTGGAATCTTGCACTGACCCCCCCAAGAAACTTGACCTGGTCCTTTGGGTGTCCTTTGGGTTTTTTGATGGCCCTGGACAATGGATGGCATAAAACCCCTCTAAACCAGCGGAACCCATCTATTTCTAACCAAACTAACCAACAACGGACACCTATGAGCCAAGTGGCTTTACCTTTGCCCTTTAGCGTGCTCAAACTTGGATTCTTTCCCGAGCCAATCGAACGCTGCCACAACCGCCGAGAGGACTGCCTCAAAAAAATCCCCTTCGGCGCCTTTCGTGGAATCGCCCGGTTCCATTCACCCCCCGAATCGGTCGAGTTTGGTTGGCCGGAAATACTGTCACCGCCCGGGTGTGACCATAGGTGTCCTTTTGGGAAAATAGACGGCCCTGGTAAAAGGAATAAAACCCATCAAAACCAGTGCCTTCTATGTTCAACCAAACTAACCTAAGAAGGACACCGCCCGGGTGTGATATGCCAAGTTTGGCACGGGCGTAGGTCGGGCGCCCGTGTGGATTCCCAAAGGGTCCCATCACCCTCTTTCCGACCTGCAAGTGGACACACCAGGGAAAACCCGTGGCTAAGGGCCATCTTGGATGTTCTGACACGATTCTGACCAACGAATAGAAACCATGAGCAAAGGCTAGGCCAGCCTATTTGAAAAGCGTTTTTCTGGGTCAATCTCAAATAGGTCTCAGAAAAACCAGACTTCCTTAGGAGCTTCCTGTGTTTGTCCTGTGCATGCACCCTGACATTGAACTTCAGCACCCTTGGTGACGGGCAGGCGAATGGACATAGTTGGCACCAGTGTTTGCATTTCGCCCATTCAACATGTTGCCGGCGTCCACGTATATCCAAGAACAAGCAAACTAACTATCTGAACATAGCAATACTTAGTTCAGCTCACATCTTGAACACATCCATGGAGCATTCCATTCAGGGACATGCAACATCATCAAGCTGCATTTCAATCTTACTTGACTTGCTGGTAACTGGGAATATGAACTTGGGAACACGCCCAACCATGCCCTATCAGGGAAGCTATTCTAAGATGCCCTAAGCCAAAACGGCTAGCGGCTAGGCTCGCCAAGTAGATAACTCATATCGACTGCTCGCCTGCTTCGCCGGCTGTTAAAAGCCAAAAGTTTTTGAGAACTTAAAGGAAACCACAAGGGAGGGTTCTCGGTTGCGAAATCTGCACCCCCCTGCGAAAAGTGAATAACTTTTGGTGGTTTGATACGAAAAACCCATTACTGTAGTTGGCAAAAAGCTAGTCCCCCAACGCTCCAAGCAACATGCACCAAAGGGCTTATACGGGTCCTTCCAACTCATTCCCTGCTGAGAACCAGCTGGTTTTGGATGGCCTTCAGGGCAAGATCCCCCCTGATGTAGGGGGGAGGGGGGTGGGGGGGCCCCAATTCCATTTATCGAGTCTTCCCCAATAAAAGGGAAAATGGATCCAGAGATGGATTTCCAGGGGTCGAAATCCCCCCTCCCCCAATTCCATTTTTGAGGGGGTGGGGATGGGCAAGCCCCTAGGAAACCGCGAAGCAACCAGTCCTCACTCGAAATCGATGAGCTGCAGGTGCCTCAGCCACAAGCTATGCCAGGCCGCTTAATCAGTGGGGGGTATCCGTATGCAATTGGCATTCGAGTTTTGCGTGGTTTGTTTAAGGGACAGTCACTAGGTCCTCCAGTAGAGAGGATAGAACAAGGGTACCTTTTTTTCTGTAGTCTGTTTTAGTAGGGGAACCCTCCCCCAAAAAAGGGTAAAAGGGCACTACGGGGGGACCTAAGTGATGCCCCTTTGCTGGAAACGTGATGCCGTCTACTTTGGCCGCCATACATCACTTGATTGCCTTGGCCAGCCTGTTCATACTCAACATGTGATTGAACAAATGGGTCCAAGCAGGGTCCAACAAAAAGTCCAAATGTTCCAGGAAATATTCGCGGCTTGGTTCAAACTGACCATATTATCTTGCCTGAAACTGGGGCAACCTGCAACATGTTTGCGCATTCCCTTTCTTCCACTTGCTTAAGCCGGGAAAAAGATGAAGAAATACGTCCGGTAGTGCTAGATTATCACAGGGAAAAGCAAACAAAATCTTCATTTCAGCAAATCCCTGAACCTTAACCCTGAAACCCTTTTGCTTTCTAGGTCCTCCAGTAATACGGGTACCAACTTTTTCTGTGGTCTATTTTAGTAGACCCTCCCCCAAACAGGTAACGGTCAAAGGGCACTACTGGGGGTCCTAGCTTTGCTTTCCAACGAACAAACCCACAAAACATCGAACCCCCGGCCATACGATTCGTGGAATCCGAGGCCCCCCGCCATCCTCGGCCTCCCTCGAAACGCGGGAGACCTCCGTCCTGAATCCGAAAAACGCCCGCCGACGGCTTGGGATCCACTTCCCGGGAAGTTTGTCCAGCTGGATCCGTCGAGCAAAACGAAAACCCTTGGCTGGAGAAATACTGTGTTTTTTCTTTCTGACAGCTGATGTGTTGGCAAGGGGAGTTACAATGTCCTCAAATGCCCATGGAAACCCAAAACCCAAGAACACTAAACCAACTAAACACCTAAAGCCTAAGGAACCGTACCGCTCGGAAGCAAGGGTCCTGAACCAAGGGCTCCAGGGCTCCAAGGAAAAATAAGACAAATGGCAACCGTTCACAATGGTGTCTCGGGATTGTGAGTAAGCACAGCTGGCCAAACATGCTGGCAATGTCCTCGTCATCCCTCACAAGCTCCTCAATCATGCATGTGTTGCTTTTGTCAATCTCTATCACACACACACAGGAAAAAAAAAACAAACACTAAAACATCAACACACAAGACCCGGCGCTCAAGCTTCAAACGTCCCATGGAGGCATCACGCCACCTCACTTGCGTTGGACATGGGATTCCTGATCGACTGGGACTACTTTCGATCCATTCTTTGGCTCGAAAGTCAGGGGTTTGTGGTTTCCTTCCCAGGTACAGGATGTCCGAGAAACAGAGAAGCTTCCCACCTTGCATCTCCCACCCGTTTAACAACCTTTGACCGACCTCCTTTGCCATAGCTCCTTCGGGTGTCACTGGGTTTCATCACCAAAGAGTTGCTCAACCTGCTGGTGGTGTCCATTAAAGCACGCACCATTTTTGCAGGTGCCCTTTAAAGGGAAATGGCTCGACAACCTCACCGTGCCATAGCCTCAAGCAGTGTGTCAGTGTGTATATATATATATACGTAACAGATATAAGCACTTGCAAATTTGACACTTGGTTGAACCAGCTTCTGGAATGGCCTGTCACGGTTGTGGGCGCCGCACATCTGATTGCTCACCTTCCATTTGCCTTTAAGCCCCCTGGAAAAAATGCACAGTAGCGATAGATTCCAGTCAAAACCCACAGGGATAACAATATATATATATATACATATTCATTTCAGCAAATGGAAGTCACGGCTTGCAACATCTGCATTATCGACAGCTCCCTGTGTTTCCTTTGGGTCGGCTGAGTTTCAAGTTGCGCTTCTGACTGCCTCTGACCTGCTGAGTTAACTGCCCCAAAGTTGTTCAAACTCCCGTTGCCTTGCGTCACATGTGAGAACGCAGCCAACAACAAAGGAACTTGAAACTGGGCTGTCCGTTTTCTGATCCCTTGATAAAAGTGACTAGTTAAATGGAAACCCAACCACTAAACCCTGCAAAAGCTAAAAAGCTGAGGGCTGACGTTTAGTGGGTTAAATGAAAGCTACCACTAAACCCTAAAAGCCAAAAAGCTAACGGGATGGCTGGGAGCCACCAAGGAAACTCTAAGAACATTTATCCAAGCTCTTTCATTGAGATTTCTTGCCATCTGCCCGCAGCAATTGTCCCAGACGCCTGTGCTCTGGGCTGCAACCAACTCCACACCAATGCCAATGAAGCAAGATAAAGGACCCCAGGATCACATTCTTAAACATCCTGCTTCTGAACAGGGAGTGAGAGGCTTGCAGAATCAAACATTACGCTATGGGTGTATCTTTTTCTGGGGAGCCCGCTAAAAGGCATTTCGGCTTTCCTTTTGGTCTACCTTTAAACGCACAATAAGGGTACACGCGCAAAATAGTTGAAAGAGAAACTCCGAAGCCCCCCTCAACATGCAACCACTTAAGGACCCCATCTGCGCCTTTTCCGCCCCCATCTCCCGATCGGTGCCTGGTCCACTCGATGCGCTGCAGCAGCGAATCCTGCGATATCTGAAGTACAGCCCTTACGGCCTGATCCCTTAAACAGGGATCCACCTGAAAAGTGCCTTGTAAATGGTGGTTCCCATTTCTTTATTCTGGTGTTGAAAAAGCCAGCCATGTTCCAAGTGGTTGCAAAATGAACTTCTTTCAAGGAGCCCTCTTAAAAAAAAAAAGAAGAAAAAAAAGAGGCTAGGATAGCACCCTTAAATTTTCCCCCGCCCGAGGCCTTTTTCAAAGAAAAAACCACCGCCCGCGTTGACGCGGGCTCGAGGCATCCGACGTCGAGTTCTTCGGGGAAATAGCCAGCACGGAAAAAACTTTGCCAGTGGCTCATGGCCATGTCCCGTTCCCAGGAAAAGCACACACACACACACACCTTAACCATACGGGTGCGTTTAGTTTAAGGCTAATTGCCCCTTTCAGGAACCCGTCGACTTCTTGGGTCTCCCTGGATACCCGGATAAAAGGTCACAGTCATGCAAAGTGCCGGTCCGGTGAGCCCATGCCCGAGATGCTTTGGAGGCCAGCCCGATTGAAATTTGAGGCTCCAACGTCTCGATGCCGAAGACAGATCGAGTTTTTGACGCGTTCTATATTCATTGCCCGACCCTCCCATCTTCCAAACATTGCCAGGCAAACAACTTGGTGGGTGTTTACTTTATGAAAGCCAGTTCAGTCATATTAACAGGGATCCTTACATTATACACCTGAACATTGGCACTGGTAAATGGTGGTTTCCACTTCTTTACTTCGGTGTTGAAAAAACCAGACATGTCTCAAACCAACTTTTTTTTGTGGAAAAAGCCAGCCACATGTCTCAAACCAACTTTATGTTTGGTGCTGAAAAAGCCCAGCCGGCCATGTTTCAAACGGCTTCCAAGATGAACTTTTCTTTTCAGGAGCCCCGAGGAAATTTTTCCAAATCCCCCGCCGCTTCCGCGCGCCGCCGCTTCCGGTCCACTGGCCCACGGCCCTCCAGGCTGTTCTCCAAGGACCGCACTTGCTCCTGCGAGCCGCTGACGCCGCTGACGCCGGCGGTTCGCGGTCGGCGGCTTTTTTGTTTGTTTTCCGAATTCATGACGACGGCTTGCGTTTTTTTTTGTTTTCTCTTTTTTTTCCCCCGTTCACGTGGCTTGGTGAAACAAAGAAAGGCTTGGGATGTGCGAGGAGAGAAAGAAACAACGAATTAACAAGAGCAAGACCAGAAAGAGAGGCGGGGCCATATTGAAAGAGACATGCGCGACCGGACAGACTGTATCGGGGAAGGCCGACAATGCGTAATCCACTCAGAGGGAGGCAGTCCTTGTGTGTTGCGTCTATGCTTGCCTTGTTTAGCTGACACAGCCCCATGCAAACATTGTGGATAGCACTGGAGGGCCAAAGAGAACTTTCAATGGCCCATGATGTCTGCCCACGAAAAGAGTGACACCTCTTCCATTGGAGTTGCATCCGAAACACTCTGAACAACGTTAAATCGGCAATTGACGTTAATTGGGAAAAATAACGTTTGGCAACAACAAGTGAGAATCAGCAAAAAATCTGACATCTGCATGTGGTGGGAAGGCGGGAAATCGAACGCGGCGAACTACGCTGGTTGCACTTTCTTTGGGCCGAAGAAGGCTAGACAAGGCCAACCAACGTGGGGAGGGGCATCGAAGGTACAAAAGGGTACATGTTTGGGGCATGCCCCTGCCAGCCCATCTGTCTGAACCGCCGTCAACACTCTTGTGCGCCAAACTGGAATGTCTCTGAACCCTTTGTGTTAAAGAGACTCCTTCGTTGTTGAGGGTGTTTGGTCATTTGTAGTTTTAGACAGACTCCATCGTTCTTGGTTCTTACAATTCCACTTCAATACATATTATCCAATATGTTTTATAGTCATAAAAACCCTTTTATTTGCAACCCTTGGTATGACAGAAACGCATCTTCTTTTTTGCAGCCCCTGAAAATAAGCAGAACCAAACAACCCCAAAAACAAATAAACACTTGATCCAAGAACTGTGAAGTGTTCTTGGACACCAAGTTGTCATTAACCCAAGCTGACCTAAAAGGACACCAAAGGTTTCTGCTTCAGGCTGCTTGTGGCTTTTTGCGCTCAGACTCCTCGATGGCCTCCCGGTAGTGAGCCAGGTCTTCCCTCGAGGGGGCGGGGGCCTTAGGATCCGTCGAAGCTGACGGAAGACACCGGGGAAGTGCCGAAGAAATGTCCCGTTTGACTCACTTCCGAGCCCCGCAGTGGCAGGTTCAAAGCACCTTTCTGGAAAGCAACAAAACCAAAGTCATTGGAGAGGGGAAACCTCGCTTCCTGAGTGGCATGGCCGGAAAAAGCAAGCGAACTTTGTGTTTACCACTGCAATGGTCTTCCCAAAAAAGTTTACACTCAATCCCGATGAAGGATGATTTGGTGATGATCAGCTCCTTCTGGGCGGTCCTTCAGAAAAATAGGAATCTATGGTAGAATGTAAATGAATGTCATGCACTGACATGTAATGACAGCGTAATCCAATGCAATGAATTTGATACATGCATGCATGAATCAACGGAATGCAATGCGGTGAAGCGTATTGAAATTTCATGACCTGAAATTTGATGAGTACACTATGTGACACCGATGAAACTGTTTTGTTTGGGGGTGTAATGGTGGGTATTGAGTCAATGTACCTTCAATGTAATGTCAATGAATTGACATGCAGGGGCAATACGGTTATTACGTTGCATCAGGTACACTTGCACCCACACTTGCACCCGCACTCGCACTTGCATTGCATTGCCGCTTTCTTGCACTAGTTAAGACCTGATCTCGCCCACACAGGCCGCAAATCCAGGAATTTGAAAAAAACACAAAAAACAACTCAAAAACAAACACAAAATAAACAATCCGAAAAAATCAATCTGAAATAGTCTGAATCTGGGAAGACTCAAAAGAAACTCAAAAACAACTCAAAAACAACTCAAGCAACAACTCAAGCAAAGGTCTGGGGAGGGTTCTGGGGGTCGGGGAGGCGTCGGGGGTGGGGGAGGGGCAAAATGTAAGAACAACCGCAGAAAACACAAAAACAACTACAAACAAACAAACAAAAACTCAGAACATACTCAAAAAATACTCAAAACAGACTCAAAAAAACTCAAAAAAACAAAACTCAAATCTCCTGCTGTGTTTTTTGTTGTGTTTTGTTTGAGTCTCCTGCTGTGTTTTTCTTGCGTTTTTTTGAGTCTCCTGCTGTGTATTTTCTTGCGTTTTTTTGAGTCTGTGTTTTCAGTTGAGTTTTTTGGCTGAGTTTTTTCCGAGTTGTTTTTGTTTTTGAGTTTTTTTTGTTCCGCTAAAACCTCTCCTGTCTGAGCCCGACTGGTCATAACACTACCGGATCGTCCATTCCACACCATTCCATGCTATTCCACCATTCCCTGTCATTTGGATATAACATTACACCTTACATACATAGATGCATATATAGATACTTGGTCGTAGTTCGGCATTTCCAAGACTTCGCAATGTACCCTTTTGCTTTCCCACAAGGAGCTCGTCTCTTGTTTGCTTCCAGTTGGACCCCCGCAAAAAGGGCACCCTCCGAGAAGACCTCTCATGAGTCTCCAAATAACGGAGTTCTTCCTGTGTGAGCTTGCTTTACAGTTTCAGGTGTGATCAACCAACCACCATTGGGACCATGGGCCTCTTTTCGCCGTGTAAGTTCGCAAAAACAATGCAAAGTGATCAGCGCAGCCGTTAAAGGTGACCAATACGGGGCCCCGTGATTGAATGGGCTGCTCCGCGGCAAAATCCAAGGTTTCCCTGTTGACCCAGGAGTCTTTCTGCTGCAAAATGTCTGCGTCTATCTTTAGAGGACCCTCAGAATGGTGGCTTTCCTTTTAGCTTCCCTTGCAATCAAACCCGTACCCACCCAAATGTCTCCAGGTTCTCTCATAAGCTGCTCTCTCAGACGCCGTACGGAGTTTTGCAGCTTCACCTTGATGTTGGAAATTGCTCGGAGCCTCGAGACTGAAAAAGGCCGATGCTGAAAACACTTGGCCGTGTGCAATTTGCAATCGGTGGCCAAAACCAGGGTTAGCAGCTGGAAGTACCCGACCATGTTCCATGAAGACACGCTCCTATCCCCATGAGGGACGTGATCTTGGCCATGATAACCTAGTCAACAACAGTATATGGGGGTCGATCAATATGCATGGCCCCCCAATGACCATGGGCAACTGTTCCCATTTTGGTTGAAATATCATATGTGCAGAGGTTTTCCCAATGGTTCCCATGTTTACCGGACCTTTTGATCAACCACCATATGTCATGTTCAAACATTATCAGGTCATGCGAGCTCCAGCTGGGCCTCATAATTTGGAAGCACATCGCCGCATGCATGATCGTGCCTCAAGCCGACTGGTGCTTCTCAATTTAGTTTGGACAAACAAACAAGCGGGGATACGGAGGCAGCGGGGATATGGGGGGATTCCCTTGGCGCCATTTCATTTCCCATAAACTTAGTCAAGGTGCATCAAACGGAGTGTTTCCCTGATTAGTGGGATTTCGATGAACAACTAGAGCTAACAATCAGATCCGGCAAATCTAGAATGTACGGCCCTATACACTGAATACTGTTCGGAACACGTTGATGCTTGGCATGTCAAACAACAATCATACAAGTTCCATTCTATAAACGTCATGTATCCGTCAACTGGTTGAAAGCATTCCTCGCCTACGCATGACAACAAGGGAAAATCACCAAAATACTCTTGAGCAAATGGAAGACCAGTAGCCCCAACAGTGCATCCCCAAGTCTCCCCCCTCGGCGGTTGAACCCGCCACTTCCATTTGCCCAAGACGCCCGAAAAATAAAAATAAAACACATCACCAAAGTACTCAAGAATTGGAAGACCAGCTGAGTCAGAATCAAAACCCGGTATTAAAGTGGTCAAGCCAGAACAATGTAAAGAAATAAGAAGGCGGATATCCGCAGCTATTTATGGCAAGGGGATTGTCCCTTACTAAGATTCAATCTATCCGAATTGGTTTTGAGCACGTGGCTCAGCTGGGCTCGGGCTGGCTCCTACTAGGTCCTCCAGTGGAGAGGTTAGAATTAGGGTATCAACTTTTTTCGGTAGTCTATTTTAGTAGGGGAACCCTCCCAACCACAAAAGGTGCGAGCCTGGGCACTACTGGGGGACCTAGCCTAGCTGCAGCGCACCCCCAAGTCTCCGGTCGAACCAGGCGAGCCGGCCAAAGCTTCCTCTCCGCCGTGGTCCGCGCAGAAAAGTCGTGGCCTCGGATCGAAACCTGGTTCCTGGGGCCCCTCCAACCCCCTCCCCACGCAGATTTAGGGGTTTGTAACTTGCTGGTGCGAAATCCGCATGTATGAATGAACACGGGAATTGGTCCTTGAAGGAAACCACAAAAACATGGTTGACAAGGGTCATTCCCTGAGCACCAGCAAGGTAAGCCCAAGGCCAACAAAGGCAAACAAAAACTTGGGGGTCTTTGGTGGCGAAAACGGGCCGATGGGCCCATCAAGCGTGGAACAAAAATCTCCTACACCACCCGAGGCGGCGGCCGGCGTTGTCACTCAGTACTCATGCCCGTTGACATCAACCGTACAACGGTGGTGGAAAATTACCGTTTGCTCAACGTGTGTATACATTTATATACACATAGTAGTGTAAACGTACCCCCGTAGGTGTTTGCTCATTTTTGGCAAAGGCAGGGTGACAGGGCAAAGCGTGATCAACGAACGCCAAATCATAAGGTCCTGACACAGCTAAGTTGTTGTTTAATCAGTTGCACCAACAACATGCTTTGTCTAGCAGCCTGTCTTTGGGACCGCAAGCCAACTAACAAGCAAGCAACACAAACTCACAACAGCAAGGCTCAGGAGAAAGCAACGGCGACGGCAACAGCAACAGCAGCAGAGCCAACCAACAGCAGCAGCAGCGGCAGCAGCAGCAGTAGCTACATACTTTTGTGTGGGCCCACGAGTCTGCCTACTATGTCTAGATTTCTGCTGGCTGACACACATGACCCAAGCGGTACAAGGAGTCTGTTGTTACTTGCCAGGCTTGCTGCGTTGCTTCAGCCCTATCGAACTCTCCCGAACAACTAACCAAATACTGAAACTCGCCTTGGCTTCCCTTTCCCGTGACCCTGGCGAGCTATGCGCTGGGTGCCCGAGCCATTGATGCAGAAGCAAGTGCAGCTCATGCCAACCTGGCCAGTGCCCCTATGGATAGCACAACCAGCATCACGAGCACACAGAACTGCGCACAAATCAGCCCCTGCAATACAAGACCAGTTAAACAGGCTGCGCACGGCTCTCTAAACACCGCTGCGTATATGTTGTGACGTGTGTATATGTATGTATATATATATATATATGTACATGTCTATGTGTGTGTGTGTATTGCGGCATGCATGCCTTGCAGGCAGACAAGCAGGCATTCATGCAGGCATGTGTGTATGTGTGTATGCATGTACGTATGTATGTAGCTTGGTAGGTAGGTAGGCATGCATGTATGTATACAATATCATGCATAATAGACACCCATATCTCGATAATCTACAACCGCACTGATCAATCCACATAGAATCTTTGGCACATTGACCCTTCCAAGCGGGCAAAGGAATCTCACGTGCCCAGTGGCCAGGGGAAAAAAAGATCGGCATCCTCTTCCGGTTGGTTGACTTTCAAGGAATCGGGACCCGTCCCCCCCCAAAAAAAAGCAGGGAAAAAAGGGCGGAATCCACTGGGTGCAACTAGGGAAAGGCATGAATTCCCTGTGCCCGGCGAAGGACAACGAATCCCTCCCCCATCCCCTTGCTTGCTGTTGACCCCTTCTGCAAACAGTTTTCAACTTTTTGTGGGCTTAGCACGGAAAACCTAACTTGATTTCAACCAAAAAGCTAAAGTCCAAAGATCCGTTACCCCAGAGCAGTAGAATCCCCTCCCCGTCGTTTGCTCGGTTTTTTCCCTCGCTCGCGACCCGACGGCGACCCGGGAGCGCCTTCTCGAAGCAGTTGCTGGCCACGGAGATCCAAATCTCCATGGCGAGGCGCTGGCACTGCTCGTTCTCGTAGAAGGCCAGCCTGAAATTGCACGCATATGTGTATAGATGTGTATATATATATATATATATATATTTATATATATTATATATATATGTATATATATATATATCGGTTGCTTTCTGCTCCCCTGCTAAAAGTTTAACTTTTAGTGGCTTAGTGGAAAACCCATGAGTTGGCAAAAAGTTAAAGTCCTAACAGCCAAGCAAAATGCACCAAAGATATATATATATATATACATATATACACATATCAAACGTATGTGTGTGTTTCTCGTCGTGGTCGGAAGAAGAAATGCGCGGGGTGAAATGGTCAGCCCGGGTGTGGGTTGTCAAAAAGGAGGGTAACGCCCAAAATGGGGGGAGGGGGTCGGAAAATGGTGGGGCATTTCCCAGAACAAGGAAAAAGGGGGGGGGGGATTTCCCGGGATGTGCCAAAATGGGTTGCCCTGGATGGAAAACAAGTACAAAAATATGTGGTCCATATTCTGATGTTTTTGAGCCATAGGCCTTGGTTTAGATTGGGAATTGAACCCGCATCCAAACCATGAGGGACTCTGCTGGTAGATGATTGAGCCACCAGGTAAACCAGAGATCGCCCAACCTATTTTTCAACCAAACCAACCAACAGGGACACCTATGGTCTTATGGTCTGGAATCAACAGCAAACTTCTTAGGGAAATCATTCTTAGCAACGGAAGGGGGGATAGGACTGGGGCAAACAAACATGGGGGCCGAAGGTGGGTTTCAGGAGTAGCCACGTCTGAGTTGTGAGCTTGACTGGGGCATTCCAAATCTGAATTGGAACCTGCCCATATTTCATTTTGAGTCCAACATATGATTTGAACATTGCACGCCTGGTATATTCAATTCAACAACTGAATTGACAACCACCCATCTTGTATGTTCAAATCAAAATCTGATTTGGTTCAAGTCACAACCTGAACTGAACACTGCCAATACTGCACTTCAAATTGAAGCTCTGAATCCAACTTGGCCATAGTTAAGTTTCAACCCAAACTTTTAATTGAACACTGCTCATCTTGCATGTTCGATTCAACATATCAGTGCCAAGTTGCCCATTTATGATGTTCAAGTGTTCAAACTCCCTTTCCGAGTCTTACAAGTAACATATCCACGCTCACAAATGGCCCCACAGCCCAAAGCTCACTTATCACAGCAGATAAAATTTATTAAAACAAATGGGGTTCCCTGGTAAATTGGAAAAATCCAAGCAAAACCAGTAGAACCCATCTATTTCAACCCAAACTAACCGATCAAAAGAACACCTGCTATCAATGGACAAATTCCATTTCGCGCCACTTTGAATGAAGCCATGATTTGTTGGCACTTGCAGGCTTCCATTTGCTTCAGCCCCCGGAAGAAAAACAAGCAAACAAAACCAGTAGCGAAGGAGATTCCCTTTGCCCCCCCCCAAAAAAAAGGACAAAAAACTTGAGGAGCGGGTGAACGAAAGCTAGCAGTTGTTGCATGAGATGGGTCGGTGACAGAGTGGATTCATAGGTAGCTTGTGTACAACGAGAGGCCCGGCAAGATTCGTAGGATGCGACACGCAAACGCACATGGTGGCGTGGCAAACCTTGAAAAATGAAAACAACGAGAGGCGTCAGAAGCTGTCTTAAAGCACCTCTGGGTTCTGCATGCAGCGTGTGCAAAGATTCTTGCGAGGTGGTTTACCGAGAAGACTGAGGTCTCAAATGAACAAGCTGAATCGGTGGAACATGTAAAAGTTCGTAGCACCAAGTCCAAAACGGGCAAACCGAGACTGCTGAACACTGAGCCACTGCCCGGGGGGGGGGGATGGACCAGGGAGGAATCGAGCCTGAGACCCGGGGGGGGGGGAGGGGGGGGGGGTCTAAATAATTGATGTGTTTCAATCTTTTCGGCTCAAATAATTGAAAAAATCAATCTTTCGGCATTTGAGCCCCTTACCTTGCTTACGCAAGGAGAAACTTCAGCTAGCTAAAGCTAGCTTTCGTGACAACAAATCTTCATTTCAGCAAATTGTGAAGCAGGGGAATATTCCCTTTAAAACCAAGTAGGGGAAACAACACATAGTTGCTTTCAGCTGGGGGAATCGACTCCTTCCAGACGTCCTTTTTGGGAAAATAGATGGCCCTGGTAGTTGATGAAACCAGCAGGTAAACAAGAGTTCGCCCTCTATGTTTCGACCAAAACAACCAAAAGGGACACCTATGGTCCGGAATCAACAGCAAGCTTCTTGGGAAGTCATACTTAGCACAGAAAGGGGGGCATAGGACTGGGGCAAACAAACGATTCCAGGAGCTGCTTTTTTTTCAACCAAAACCACCCAAAGGGCCACCACCAACATGGGGACCGAAGGTGGGTTTTCATGAGAACACCTATGATTCCGAACAAGGGTACCAACTTGTTTTTTCTGTAGTCAATTTTAGTAGGGGAACCCTCCCAACCAAAAAAGGGGTGAGAAAGGGCACCTAGCTGGGGGGCCTAGCCTATGGTCTGGATTCCTAGGAGTTGCTTCTTTTTCAACCAATGAAGACCAAAAAGGACACCTATGGTCTGGAATCAACAGCAAACCCACAGTTTGCTGCTATGGGTTTCATGGGTAAACCTACTCAGATGTTCAGTGACCCTGGAAAACAAAGGGGGCATTTTAGTGGGGCAGCCACGCAAAAAAAGTGGGAAGAAGAAAAAAGGGAGCCACTGAACAACTGAGCCTATGATAGCAGGGATCCTTACATTATACACCTGAACATTGCCTTGTAAATGGTGGTTTCCTTTTATTTTGGTGGAAAAAGCCATGTTTCAAATGGGCAAAATGTATCTTTTAAGGAGCCCTGCTATGAATTCCTTGGATTCCAAGACTTCGCTTCGCTTCGGCGCTCGCTTCGTTCCGATTTTTCCTCCGCCGGCTCCGCCTGGCGAGGTCCGAGCCGCGGGTGTGGGGCGACAGCTCCCCGTAGAGCACCGTGGCGACCTTCGGATCGGGCGGTCGCGAGCGGTCGCTTGAGAGCGGAGCGGTCGAGAGCGGGACGGCGGGACACGGGGAACGGACATGGAGCCGCGAAAAGGCGGTGGGTTTCCGTTGGGTTCCTTTGGATTTCCGTTGGGTTTCGATGTGTTTTTTGCAGGTCCAAAAATGAGTAGCTTTCCTTTAAAGTGTTGAGCCACCAAAGTGGGGGTTCCGTTGGGCTCCGTTGGGCTGCGATGTCCAAAATGGCGGCGGTTTCCTGTGCTCAGTTCAATCATGCAGTCCGAGCATGAGACAAAGAAAGGCTTCCCCTTTGCACGCTGGAGTGCTCTAAAGACCCTGGGGCGAAATCTAGGTCCTCCAGTAGAGAGGATATTAGTAGGGGAGCCCTCTCCAAAAAAGGGTAACAGGGCACCGGTAGAGAGGTTAGAATAAGGGTACCCTTTTGTATGTAGTCTAATTTAGAAGGGGAACCCTCCCAACCAAAAAAGGGGTTAGAAAGGGCACTACTGGGGGACCTAGAAACTAAAGGAAGCCAATCCATTACGACCCTTTTGCGCTGGTGGCCGAGGTGTTGGTTGGTGTCAATTTCACCCAAGAGATCCGTTTGGAGGGAACCCCAGTAGAAAGCTTAGAATAAGTTGGCACCCTTACTTTTTCTGTGGTCTATTTTCGTAGGGTCCCGAACCCTTCCAACCAAAAAAGGAACGGTCAAAGGGCACCAATCGCTGGGGGACCCAGTTCCCCCGCCCCAAAAATTTCGGCGGAAGCTGCGCCATTTTCAGCTCCCGAGTCCCCGCGGCCCCGGCATCCTCGCCGCTGTGGTACAGCACGTAGCCTTCGGTAAGGTTGACCCAGGGTCTAAGTAGAACCCGTCCCGTTATTCGGGGGCTGGTCCCTCCAAAAGTGGCCTGAATGCCCACGAAAAGGAATTGGACACCCCCCTGTTTTTCAATCAACCAGGGGTTCGTAAATCCCCAAAGGAAATCATGGGGAAAGCTCCGTTTGGGTATCCCCCCATTCGAGAGGGGGTAGTGGGCCAAATCCTGTCTCAGGGAACGCTCCTCTGGTGAGGGTTCTCCCGTGGTTCTTCGAGAAAAAAACAACAAAAACAATCTTTTTCAACGAAGCATCGACCAGTACGTGGCAAATGGATCAACGAAAATCGGGGAAGCAACATTTCAGCAATTGACCAGCTTCTTGCCAGAAACAGCCACCCACGCCGTGCACATGGCTCTCTTCCAGACTGCTAGGTACCCAGTGTCAGGAACGTTTCTTGTGGATTCTTGAGGTGGGCTTGCGATATTAAAATACCAAACAGGCAAACCACCTCTTCTAATGGGTTGTCCCATGTGGAGACAAACCCACTTGTAGGTGACACTAGCATTGTTGTTTAGGCGGCAGCCGCGCGGCCAGCGCAAAAATATCCGCCATAGCGGATGGCATACTGAGTATTGTTAGGGAAAGGAATGCTCTATCTTTCATTATTTACTTTCATTTTTTCAAGACAGACAGTGTATGAGTGAGAGATAGACAATTGTTCACTCTCTACATCTCTATCCATCATACCAGCCAATATTAACTCTGACGATTGGCTGGTGATAGGATGAGCGAGCGAAGGGACGCCATATGACGCCATGGTAAAACACTCACAATCGGTGGTCAAAGCCTGAATGTCTCCAGCTGCAGGCTCTTCACACATGTCTGGGTCAAAGCAGCTCCCTCCTAGCAAAATTCACCTGCGACTACCTGCAATCACCAGTACGAGCCTTGCTGCCTCCAGGCTCTTCAAGCAACTCAAGACATGCGTGTTTTCCACAGGTGGCCTTTTGGAAAAGTAGATGGCCCTATCAAATTGAATCAAATGGAATTTCACCAATCTAAACCGGTGGAACTCATCTATTTCTATCAAAAGAACACCTGAGTCACAATCAAGGTTTGAGGACGCGACTCGTCTATAGGGATCTTTCCCCGTAAGCCACGGGGTTCAGTCGCTCAGTCGCTCATCGCCTGCCATGAGCCTCCGCGACGTCACCGCCGCCGCGCAAATGGGCCTCGCTTCTTCGTTCTTCCGAAGCAACGCGAAGTGACGAGGCGTTGAAGCAGCACACACCACGGCTGCTCCCTACAGGTGTTTTGGACCCAAGTGCATTGATCTAGAACCAATTCCTGTACGGAGATCTCAAAAAGTCGAGATCTATCCCCCCGCTCCCCAGGTGGGGGGACGGGATGGTCCCACCTGTTTTCACATTTGGAGCACTGGCATCGGGTCCAACAAAAAAACAACAGCGGGGAAAAAGGGGCCCTTTTTTGGTCCGGGATCCGATTCCGTTGATCTGAAGGGGTCACTTTACCCATGGGTTCCCATTTCTGTTTTCGGACCACTTCAAGCGGGAAGCTGTCAAATTCTAGTGCCACTCCAGGTGGGTGTCTCCAACAAAACAAGATGGGACCATCCCTCCACCTTAAAGGGCAGGGTGGGTTTTTGGGGCCCGATTCCGGGTATCTGGTCTTCCCCATGGGAAATTGGGTTGAATCAAACATGGAGATCTCCAGGGTCGTGCTGCCCCCCCTCCCCCCAATTTCAAGGGACCCGGTGATCCACAACGTAGAGATCCTGTCGGAAGAATAGTAAACGCAATAAAACCAAACCAACCCAGAGGGTCCCCTTGCAAGGGTACCTTTTGAGGAGGCACTGAACGACCCCCTTTCCCAAAAGCCATCCTTAGGTTCAAGGGACACTCTGGGCAAACCAGGGCCAACTATTTGAAAGCACACTAACCTGCAAAGGACACTAACCTGCAAAGGACACCTATGACACCGCAGCTCTGGCAAACCACAAGTCACAAGTCCTTGGTATGTTGTGCCTTGAGAGCTATGTCTGGTCACACGCAGCAAGAGCAAGTTCGCAAGTGCGAAATGCAACGAAATGCCACGACATGCAATGAATGAGCGGATCCGAGCTCTCCTTGTTGCGGTTCATTCTTTCCTCTGCTGGGCGGGGTGGTCACTTGTGTGCACAACAACGCAGCGTCAAGCACATCTAGGTCCTGTAGAGAGGTCAGACTAAGTTGGCACCAGCTGTTTTTTTTTCCGTAGTCTATTTTCGTAGGGTCCCGATCCCTTCCCCCCCCAAAAAGGAAACGGTGAGAGAAAGGGCAGAGAGCTGGGGGACCTAGCTGGATGTCTGATCGAACCCATGAAATAAAATAATATGTGTGTATCTTTCAACTTCCATAGATGGAATCTTCCTGCTTCAAGCAACGAACCGGACACGCTGCGCATGTAGTATAGATGGAATCTTCCTGCTTCAAGCAACGAATCGGACCTAGTTGGAGTGTGCACAACCGGGGTCAAGCAACGAAAGACCTCACGTGCAACCTGCGCTGCGCTCTCAGGCCCTAGGCTCACAGGAGATGCTGAAGGGAGGAAAGAGCGACTGCCTCGGCGCCGCTTGGCGATTCCAACCGTGACCACCGTGTGCCGCTTGGCTCGCTCAAAACTGGCCGATTGGGCTTTTCAAAAGCCAAAAATCGGTTAGCCCCCAGAAAGAACATTTTTTGATCCAACCACTGAAATAGGAAACCTAGAATGGGTGGTGAATTCACCTACCCCAAAATGGTACTGTTGGCTTTGACCCACAGCCAAGTCGTTGTGGCCGATTGAATCGGTCATGAAGTTCCCATGGGAATCCTTCTCGTGGTTAAGAATCTGTAAACCAGGTGAATGACCACCCCTGTTAACCCCAAGGGGTTTTTTGGCCATGGCAACATGTGTAATGTGTTCCGTTTTTGCTAGGCTGTTCAAAGCTAACCTACCGCGAACGTTCACAGCTTTGAGCCTCTTCTGGAAAAATGCCGCACAAGTGACAATTCCGGGGCCCGAGATTCATCATTCTGAATTTTGTTCTGCCTTGTGCCAAGTACTATTTTACTTCAAGGACAATTCATGTCGAGCCTTTGTACTTTATCCAAGTCCGGTTTCAGCCAATGGTGGGCGGTCCAAGATTGCTCAAGTAGGACTTCCTTGTCGCTCATGTCCCATTTTCCTGTTCGCACATGCATCTGGCCGTGTCTCAAAACGGCCACAGCCATTCTCGGGACGTGCTCTGAAGACCTCCAAGCTTTAGTCGAGTGGCACAGTTGCTTCGTTTCTCTTCGGTTTGCACAGCCCACCGGGTTTGCCAATCCCTCTTGGGACCTGGCGGCATGTGCCGCGTCAACTCCAAATCATTCATCACGGATAAAGGCGTTCCCGCGAGCCCTGTTTATCAATCAGGGCTCTGCTGTAATCTGGGGTCCCACCTATTGGGAATCAACTGAAAGCCTGGGGTCCCACCTATTGGGAATCAACTGAAAGCGGCGGCTGCGTTCCGCCGTCGCCCTAAGTCGCAGACGTGACCAAATGCACCGCTTTGGCGATGCTGGACACCCAAAGCTGGCGGTCCTCTCGCAGCTCTTGGTGATTTGGACTGGTGGTTTGTGGTTCAAGGGTGGTTTCCTATTCACTTACAAGCACAAAAGGTTCGAAGGTTCGGATCCAATCCCAAAACTAAGGGTTACAGCACACCTGAACAGCTGATGGTTGCACACTCCCCGGAAAACAACATGCAAGAAACGCAAGGCATGGTCAAAGGCCGCGTCGGGTTCGGTTTCGGTTTCAGCCATCTCCAAGATTCACATTCTTGGGTAGGTGAGCCACGGTCAATATTCATTGTGCTCATGGAATGCCCACACTGCCGTAGATGTTGGCAAAAGTTGCTCAATTCACAGGTCCTGTTTGCCCCGTTCTTCAGTGGCACCCCGTGTCTGACTTGTTGCTTTTTTACTGCCTACTCAGAGGGACAGGACTAGTCCAACAATGGACAAGCCTGTTTGTGAAAAGTGACCTGAGCAGTGGCGTTTCTTGAGTCACCATTCCTGCGAATCAACATGATTTAAGCAACTTTAATCACTCTTGCAAACTGGGTCAATGGACCACTCTGCCAAAGCGCAACATGGGTGGTTCAGTGTCCGGCTACCCGCACCTTGTATGACATCCAAATATCCTTGAACAATGTACTGCTTCTCAAGGCTGTCTTTACACGAGCGGTCAATGCTCATTTCCCAAAGTGACATTGGAATTTGTTTAACGGAAACTGAGTCACTTCCGTTGTCAAGGACATTAGGTAAACATGATCCTCGTACTGTGGATGGACGAAATCCTGCACCACCATTCAGAAAGCAACCAGTCCAAGTGCGCAGTCCTTGTCCGCTTGCGCTTCGTCGTCAGCAGATACCTACGGACAAAAACTGGCAAACCACAGCTGCTCCGTCTTGTCTCAATCCTTTGCTGCTGGCAACAGCTGAGGTCAACACATGGAAACAACATGGCAAGCCTACTGCGACTCTGACCCACATGCTTAGCATACTTGCCCCCCGCCCCAAAAAGACAAGAGCGAGCCATTCCACAGCAGAGAAGAACTACTGCAAAGGTAATCGCTCAACATGCCACGCGGTGCTGCGACCGCGACAAAATGGACGAGACAATCTTGCTGAAACAAACAAAAGTGAGTGAGTCTGATGGGCAGCATTAAGCATGGAAATGCGTGCTGTTTGCGGGACCTCATGATAAAGTAGACCGCTGGCTCGGGGCCTTTTGGAGGGCCTTTCGTCCTTTCCCCTTCTTGTTCTTTCATCCCATGTCAGCAAAAGCAGCTTTCTGGCTAAACAACTTCCCGCTGGATTTGCCCCTCGGATTTTGTTACATCGACTCGTAGATGAATCGAATTCGCAAGCCCAGCGGCCCCGAAGAAGTAGCACAGGTTCTTCACGAAAAAGAAGATCTTGAAGATCTTTAAGGACTCGGACCACATGCCGCCATGCCGACGCGCCCACGTGTCTGTGTCTGTTTTGACCAAACTTCCCTCCCTGTGCCTCCATTTGCCGAAGAAAGGCCCCCTGGAGAAAAAAAAAAAAAGATATGTCCAGTAGTGATAGACTCCCTTTGAATCCAACAAGGGCTGCTTTTTAAGACAGGTTCTTGAGCAAATGGAAGGTTTGTATTGACAAATGCCCTCCCCGTGCCGTGGGGAGACCAATTCCAAACCGCCCCGTGTCTCCTAAGTTCATGTCGTCTGAGAAATTCGTGCGTGTTTGCTCCTGGCCGTCAAGACCTACGCGCCAGCTCTGGAATGAAATCGCCAGAGTCAAACTTGCGATCGGTGCGAGAGATGCAGGGAATGAGACAGGGAATTAAACCATCCAAGATTTGGCTTCCGTTTTTTGGAATCCTCAGGTTCATTCCCATTCCCTTCCTATCGCACCAGCAAGTAAAAGAATCTGGCCAAGGATTGCTGGATCAAAGTGGATATGAACCACCAGGAAGCCGCAGGGTTCAGTCCATGTCTCCATTTGCCAGGGCAACCCATTTTGGATAGCCCTGATGGACCTGCTCGCTGGGTTTCGGGTGTAGCCTGTCAAATCTTCTTGAGGTGCCTGTGTAGGAAAACGCAAGGGGCATTATCCATTTTATAAGTTCCCCTGTTTTCAGGCACTTTGAGTCGCAATCAAAACCTGGTACTAAAATGGTCTACCCAGAACCGGATCGTCCCTTGCTAACCTTCCGGGTTTTGATTGTGGCTCAAGTGTCAATTTGGGGCCATCCAAATTGTAAATCTTCAAACATGGGACCCCAAAAGATTGTCAATGTTGATTTCACTTTCACCCGGGCCCCATTGTTGGAAACACCCCGAATGAAAGTTGAAGTTAGCGCAGGGGTCCCTATATGTCCCCTTGAAACATCACCCCTACTAAAGGAAAAATCACCTTTAAAACGACATAAAACGACCCAACATAGAAATATAGAATGACTCCAACATGTCTCACCTTTCAGATTACTAACCTGAGAAGTATGGGTATGGGTCAAATTGAAGCACTTGGGGACCTTAGGTTTTGGTCCTCGGTTCCATTTACCAGGGTTCTATTTATGGGTACCTATGTTTCACGACTGCTTCCATTTGCTTAAGTCCGATGGAAAAATGAGAAAATACTTCCAGTGGTGATAGAGTCCCTTTCAAACCAGGGGGAAATAAAACATATTCTTACGCAAATGGAAGAACAAAGGGAACCCTCACAACAGACACACCTAAAGAGGAGCACCACACCATTCCAACAGAGTGATTTGTTCACAATCAAATGTTGGCGTACCGATTCTTGACCCACAGCCACATAGGGACTCGTGTCGCACGTTTTGACCAAACGCCTTCGCTTCTCAGCCCCACACTGAGAGCTGATTGATGGAGCTCGAATCCTGGCGAGCGCAATCCCTAGGTCCTCCAGTGGAGTGGTTAGAATAAGGGTACCTTTTTTTCTGTCGTCTATCTTAATAAGGGAACTCTCCCCCCCAAGAAAAGGGTAAAAAAAAACACTACTGGGACCTAGATCCGGTCTTTACTCTGCCGCCGGGGGATTGCAACCAGACATGTTAACCCCATATTGATCAATCTGTGTTAATTAATATGGAGGTGTTCCAAACCCTCCTTCAGAAGGGGTCCGTTACCCCATTGGCAACATTTTTTATCAACCCCAGTCTAATATGAGGCGTGTCCCTGGGTGAAATGTGGGGATTCAGACCACTTTTGGAGGGGCCAAAACCACCCCCATATTCATTCACTGGGGTTGATTAACATGAGGGTCAAACTTGTACATTGTCTAGCCTGAATATGTCGACTGCGGTTCTGCGCAAGCGTGCTTCTGGCGCTCGCTCGCGCCTGGAACTTGCAGTTCCGCACCAGTGTGAACGGCGAGAAGCAGGCGCGCACCTGTCAAAAAGTAATGGCATTAGAGGGAGAGAACAGGAAGAGGCAACCTGGGCTGTCGTCCGATCCCCTGCTGAAGTCTGTGGGTTAAATGGAAACGCTCAGCATTCCTACAAAGTTAAAAAGGCTAAGGAACCGGATGGCTGGAGGCTGGAAGCCACCAAGCAAAGTAAAGGAGACGTCAACGACGAGAACATTTAAGCCAGCAAGAGGCAAGTTCAGATTCGGGGAGCCTCCTATTGGCATCGGCGCAACCTGTACAACAACACGCGCACAAATCACAGACACACGGGAACAGAGAGAAAGCGAGCGAGAAAGGAAGGGTGGACGGAACACAAAGAGGAGGAGGAGGAGGAGGAGACACAAAGAGCAGGAGAAGGAGGAGGAGGAGGAGGAGAAGACACAATGAGCAGGAGGAGGAGGAGGAGACACAAAGAGCAGGAGGAGGAGGAGACACAAAGAGCAGGAGGAGGAGGAGGAGGAGGATGAGGCGACACAAAGAGCAGCAGGAGGAGGAGGAGGAGAAGTAGAGGAGGAAGAAAAGAGGAGCAGGGAGGAGAAGAGGAAAAGAGGAAAAGAGGAGGAGAAGAGGAGGAATAAAAGAGAAGGAGGAAAAGAGGAGGAAGAACATAGGAGGAGGAGGAGAAGAGGCGGAGAAGAGGAGAAGAGGAGGAGAAGAGGAGGAGGAGAAGAGAAGACGGGGACGAGAGAAAGTGGACAGGAGAAAGGAAGCAAGGCAAACAAAGTCAAAAGAGGAGAAATGGCGTGCAGGGCATGCTGATCTGCCAGAGCCTCACCAAGGACAGTTTGCCCGATAGGTGTAAGGGGGTGGACTGAAATTCTACTGGCAAGTTTCGTGAGTTGAAGTCCCAGTGTCATTGATGCGTTTGAACGTCTGCATGAATTTGTTCACACAACGGAACAGAGTCTCTTGCAGTGCTTGATCATGTGAGTCACAATCAAAACCTGGTATTAAAAAATGGTTTACCCAGAACCATGTAAAGAATTAAGAAGGCGGATCTCCGCAACTATTTCTGGCTGGGACTGCCCCCTTACTAACCTTCGTCATGGGTCCCACAATTCCGTATTTATTCAGTCTTCCAACCACAAAAGGGAAAAGCGTGGCTCATGTTCCCTTCGTAATTTAATCAGGGGTCCAAGCACGTGGCTCACGTTCCCTTCGTTCTTTTGCTCTTCTTGCGCCGCCTCCTTGCCCTTGTGCTCGATGGCGATGCCATTCACCTTGCTGCGACCAGAACAAACGGGGAAGCGAAGCACACCGCAGCTCTAGGCGGCCCCCATTCTTTCCGGGGATCCGAATCTTTCTAGAAAACCTCCAGAATCCTGGGGAAAACGGATCCGGTTGTCGGAAAGAACGATGGTTGAAAAGAATGGACAAGGAACCAACCCCTAGAATGTTGGGGTTTCTCAAAGGGCTTCCCTAAATCGATGACCTACAAAGGTGCCGTTTTGCCCATACTGGAGGTTTGGGTGTATGGTGAAGCGAAGAGCACCGTAGCAACAAGCGGCTCAATACGGCAATGCGCTTGGGCCCCCCACAAACAAGGAGACCTGCACCTTCTCCGCAGAGGCCTCAAGCAGTCAGATGGCTGTGGGTCAAAATTCGGTTATCCCCCAGTGAACATCCCAATCCCCACTAAAATAGAGTAACATGAGTGGTGCCCCTACCCCAAAATGGTACCATTGGTGTTGACCCAAAGCCAGATCCTTATGAAAGTGGACGCTCGCTTAATTGTCACAAATTTGCTTCGGTTTTCCTTTTGAATTCCTTGCCAACAAGGGATGCCAACTCAATAAACGAATCAGCCACCCAGAAGAAGTTCCGTGAACCTTGCCAATCCAAATCACTCGGAAGGTTCAACCGCCAGCCCGCCCTCTTACCCACGTTAAAAAAAAGAGACTATCACAACGCCAACCATATGGGTGCGTCATTTTTAATCAGACCCGGTTCTCCTTTTGGATTCCCTGTACAACCAACCAAAAGGGGATACCAACTCCAAAAAAAAACGAGCCACCCATAAGATTTGGGTGTGGCTCAAAAGTCGGGGGATTACCCAACATGAAACCCAGAAAAATGGAAAGGACTGAAATCTGCGTAACCCCAGCTGTTTAATTTTGAGCCACGCCCATGTTTGTGCTTTTCAAATTGTTGAAGGCAAAAGAGAAAAGCCGATGGCATTTTGGGGCTCCAACCTTAAAGCATCCCACTAGGTCCGGTTCCTCTCCAATTGGTTGCTTCCATTTGCTTTTTCGCCCCCTGGAAAAAAAAATATGTCCAGTAGTCAAATCGGTTCCCTTTAAAACCAGACAAATGGAAGCTGCCACCCACGTAGGGACCCCTGTAGCACGTTTTGACCAATCACGTCTGTCTCAAAATGGAAGTTTGGTGGGGCTTCGAGGTTGGACCCGATGCCTTCCCTCCATTTGCGAATACGTGCCCTGTCACTCCGGGGGGGAGGAAAAAAAGAAGAAGACAAACAAAATGGAAGCTTCGGTCTTTGCTCTTGGTTTTCCTTGCCCTCCCACCACTTAATATGGAACCTGACAAGGGGGTCCTGCAAGACCATGTTCCTTTCAGGTGGACCAGTTCCTTATCCTGTCAGGTTCCATGTGAAAAAGGATGGGAGGGTAACGACCCAGTTGGGGCCGCGGAGACCAGACCAGTTGGGCTGGACACATCAATCTGCAAAAGTTCCTCTAACTTCCAAACCTGAATTCGGGGATCTTCAAGCAAAGGACCTTTGCTAGGTCCTCCAGTAGAGAGGTTAGAATAAAGGTGCCCTTCTTTATGTAGTCTATTTTAGTAGGGGAACCCTCCCCCAAAAAAGGGGCAAAAGGGCACTACTGGGGGACCTAGTTTATCCTGGTGAGCTCGTTCCAGCCCAATGTGAGTTCGCGATAGGCAGATCAATCATTCAGCCCGGGCACCTCAGAGCGCAAAAACCAAAGGTCTCCGGAGCGCATCGCCTTGCCCCGCAGGGGCTGGCCCTGGCGCGGCTTCCGTCGGCGCGGCGGCGCTGGTGACGGATGTTTCCTAGCTGCTATAGCTCGAGAGGTTCCCTTTGAAACCTGGGATAATACCAAAACAAACACATATCATTAAGCAAACGGAAGCCTAGCAAGTCAGATTTCATCTGCTCTGCATCTGTTCGCGCTGTAAAAAAAAAGGGAACAACCAACAAAACACACATATTCAGGTACTTCGACTCACTGTAAACGATCAAATTGTAGTATTTTGGCCAGCTTGTGACGCGCTCTGACATGCCCGGTGATTCCATTTCCCTGTATAGTAGCCAGGTCCTCCAGTAGAGAGGTTATAACAAGGGTACCCTTTTTTTGGTAGTCTATTTTAGTAGGGGAACCCTCCCCCGAATAAGGGAGAAAGGGCACTACTGGGGGACCTAGGTAGGTAACCAAGGGCTTGCCAGCCTTCAAAACCACGATTTGCTGCTTACCTACTATGGTAGCTGGGATCCACTGGGATGGACCCTCGGACCATCCCTGTTAACCCTTCGACCATGGCATGAGTCACGCCCCCCCTCCCCCAATTCCATTTTGAAGGGACCCGGTGGGGATGACCCAGCGCACAGCCGCAACAACGTTCCACGCGCCATATCCGTGGAGTAGGCCAGCAAGTCCGAGAAGCGCGCAGGTGGGATCTGGGCAAGCTGAACGTCGACGAATTTGTTGGGGGCCCCACGGGCTTTCTGTTGCAGGTGCTCCGTGCTTGGTTGACGTTGGAAGGGGAGCAAAAAATCAAATTTTGGCGGTTGAGTGGGGATTTCCCACTAAACCACAAGAAGCAAAAATGTGAAAGGTTTCCCAACAACAACCATGGAATGACCCCGAGATAAACAGAACCCAACTGGTGGTTTCCTTAACCAAAGCCTGGGTTCATTCCATCTTTCCCTGCTGAGCACCAGTAAGTGTTGTTGACCCTATTTAAGTCCGTTGCTCAAACATTGGGGGATTTCTCCCAGAATGGGTTGAAATCCAAGCAAGATGGAAAGGACTAAAACCTGGGTCCACATGGCAGTGGGGCAAAAATGGGTACCCAAAATAGAAAACATAGAAGCCTGGTACATGGAACCAAGGACTCAACTCTGCGCTCCCCTGGTGGTTTCATTTTGACCCATGCCCAATTTCAATGGCCCTTCCGTCTCCTTGGGGCCAAAGGTGGCCTGGCAGTTGGCCTTTTGGGATATGGCCGCACCATGCCAATGGAGTCAAACTCGCTTGGCGAGGTTCTTGAGCATGAGATCCTTGGGGGGCTTCTTGTACGGTAGCTCTGCTCACAAAGTAACAAGCAGAAAGCGGCTAAGGGGTTGTGGACACCCAAGACGCCATGATCACACATCGAAATGCATTCAACACATGCTTTCAACTTTCCTTATCCCTTGCCTTGTTTGTTTGGGCAGTCATTCCACGCAATAAATCGATGAATCCGCTTGTGTTTCGCTTGTGTTTTTGCGCATGTAGGGATTCCGAAGTCAACGTGCGGAAACAAATCCCTCCGGTCTAAAAAACGGTGCCCAAAATGGCTTGCCCTGGCAAATGGAAACACGGACTAAAACCTGCGGCCCCCGGTGGTCTAACTTTGACCCATACCCGGCTCTGAACCAAAAAGAGGTCGAGGCGAGAGGTGTTTATGTTTTTCTCGCCAAGTCTTGAAGAGCCTCTTGGATGCTGGTTCGGTGGACCGTTCCATGGGTCCCATCAGCCAGCTTGGAAGTGGCGAGCCCGACTGAAAATGACGATCCTGTTTCCTGCGGCACCTCAGGTAGGCACCTTGACTTGCCCTTTGCCAGACGATCTTCGTTGGTCCTTTTCGGGGATGACTCCGGGTGGGGCAGTCTCAAACTAAAACACACACACACACACAGGTCCCTTGAGAAACCACCAAAACTGGGGCAGCCTCAAACTAAAACACACACACACACACTGGGGTAGCCTCAAAATAAAACACACAACCATTTCCATTGAGAAACCACCAAAACTGGGGTAGCCTCAAAAATAAAACACACACACACACAAATGTCCCTTGAGAACCACCAAAACAGGGGTAGCCTCAAAATAAAACAAGACCATTTCCCTTGAGAAATCACCAACACTGGGGTAGCCACAAAAATAAAACACACACACACACACACGTCCCTTGAGAAACCACCAAAACTGGGGTAGCCTCAAAATAAAGCACAAGCATTTCCCTTGAGAAACCACCAAAACTGGGGTGGCCTCAAAAATAACACACACACACAAACACACAAACACACAAACACACAAACACACAAACACACAAACACACAAACACACAAACACACAAACACACAAACACACAAACACACAAACACACAAACACACAAACACACAAACACACACACACAACAAACACACAAACACACAAACACACAAACACACAAACACACAAACACACAAACACACAAACACACAAACACACAAACACACACAACACACAAACACACAAGCACACAAGCACACAAGCACACAAGCACACAAGCACACAAGCACACAAGCACACAAGCACACAAGCACACAAGCACACAAGCACACAAGCACACAAGCACACAAGCACACAAGCACACAAGCACACAAGCACACAAGCACACAAGCACACAAGCACACAAGCACACAAGCACACAAGCACACAAGCACACAAGCACACAAGCACACAAGCACACAAGCACACAAGCACACAAGCACACAAGCACACAAGCACACAAGCACAAAAGCACAAAAGCACACAAGCACACAAACACACAAACACACAAACACACAAACACACAAACACACAAACACACAAACACACAAACACACAAACACACAAACACACACACACACACACACACACACTTCCCTTGAAAAACCACCAAAACTGGGGCAGCCTCAAAATAAAACACAAGCATTTCCCTTGAGAAACCACCAAAACTGGGGTGGCCTCAAAATAAAACACACACATTTCCCTTGAGAAACCACCAAAACTGGGGTAGCCTCAAAACAAAACACAACCATTTCCCTTGAGAAGCCACCAAAACTGGGGTAGCCTCAAAATAAAACAAACACATTTCCCTTGAGAAACCACCAAAACTGGGGTAGCCTCAAAATAAAACACACACATTTCCATTGAGAAACCACCAAAACTGGGGTAGCCTCAAAATACAACACACAACCACTTCCCTTGAGAAACCACCAAAACTGGGGTAGCCTCAAAATAAAACAAACACATGTCCCTTGAGAAACCACCAAAACTGGGGTAGTCGTAGCCTCAACATAAAACACAACCATCTCCCTTGAGAAACCACCAAAACTGGGGTAGCCTCAATATAACACACACACACACACATTTCGCTTGAGAAACCACCAAAACTGGGGTAGCCTCAAAATAAAACACACACACATTTCCATTGAGAAACCACCAAAACTGGGGTAGCCTCAAAATAAAACACAACCAGTTCTCCTTCAGAAACCACCCAAACTGGGGTAGCCTCAAAAATACAACACACACACACACACGTCCCTTGAGAAACCACCAAAACCGGGGTAGCCTCACAATAACACACAACCATTTCCCTTGAGAAACCACCAAAACTGTGGTAGCCTCAAAATAAAACACACACCCATTTCCCTTCAGAAACCACCAAAACTGGGGTAGCCTCAAAATAAAACACACACACACACATGTCCCTTGAAAAACCAACCAAAACTGGGTAGCCTCAAAACAAAACACACAGATTTCCCTTGAAAATCCATCAAAACTGGGTAGCCTCAAAATACAACACGCACACGCATTTCCCTTAGAAAAACCCACCAAAACTGGGGCAGCCGCAAAATAAAACACACACCACCAAACTGGGGCAGCCTGAAAATAAAACCCACACCACACACACACACATTTCCCTTGAAAAACCAACCAAAACTGAGGTAGCCTCAAAATAAAACACACACCACCAAACTGGGGCAGCGTCAAAATTAAACACACACACACACATGTCCCTTGAAAAACCCACCAAAACTGGGGTAGCCTCAAAATAAAACAGACACCACCAAACTGGAGCAGCCTCAACATTAAACACACACACACACACATGTTCCCTTGAAAAATCCACACAACTGGGGTAGCCTCAAAATAAAACACACACCACCAAACTGGGACAGCCCCAAAATTAAACACACACACACACACACACGTCCCTTGAAAAACCCACCAAAACTGGGGTCGCCTCAAAATAAAGCACACACCACCAAACTGGGACAGCCTAAAAATTCAACACACACACACACATTTCCCTAGAAAAACCCACCAAAACTGGGGGTCGCCTCAAAAATCAACACACACACACACAAACACACGCATCCAGCGGTGCCAAGTCTGGGCACCCGGCCGGCGCCGCTGCGCCCCCGAGGCCGTCAAACTCCAGCTGCTCCGCCTCTAACGAGATCTCCGGCGCGACGTTTCGTTGGGCGAAGCGGAGAATGCCACAGAGCCACACCCTAGGGTTCAACCCCCATTAAAAGAAAGGTCGACCCAACTTGGATGACGACATTCCTGAGGAAAACAATGGTGGTTGTATGAACCCCCATTGTTTTAATGGTGGTTTGAACCCCAGGGGACAGACATGGTTCTGAAGGGAAACCCAAAAGGACACCGAATTCGTTCTTGTGTTTTTGTTGGTGGGGGTCCCCTTGTTTTGACACATTCTCAAATGATGTTGCTTCACGGTGGACCTTTCAGATTGAGTGGTTGCCCTTTAAAAGACCAACCCAACATAATACCCTCAACACACGACAAAGCCTAATGGGAATAGGTTTTAAACTGGTGACCCTCTGGTGAACAACATTTGAGCGGGGGTCATGCTCAATTGCCTAAGGGCGTCTCCATAAATCACAAACAAATCGGGAGACTTGGTAACTCAACCCTCAATTCAAGTTCACGTTCTACCATGACTTGGGTCTGTCGTTTTCCGGGGTACCCCTTCTTGTTTGGTGCTCAAGGGAACCCAAAAGGAAACCAGCATTTTGGGGGTCCGATTCCTAAGAAAAGACAAAATTGACTAAACGGCGAAACATTTAGGTCTAAGATGTTGCGAAGCATTGTTGTAGAGTTCATGTCAATGTGCACTGTACAGCCTTGACACCACCAAAAAGCAAAAACAACTCCAACGTGTTTCCAGGGCCAAACAAGGCCAAAGGGTTCACACGAACATCAACCTGAAATGGGTGACCTTTTGGCGGGGGCATAATTTGCTAGATGTATGCCGCCAAGCCTTTTGCATGCGTTCAACAGCATGATTAGAGTTAGGCCCCAGTAAAAAAGAAGAAAGTATATTTTATTGCTTGCTTCACTTTGAGTCACTGGTAAAATGTAAAATGTATCCTAAGTCTACCCCAGACAGGATTGCCGCTGGATGGGGGAACTGCAACTCGGTTGCTTTCCGCTCCCCTGCTAAAAGTTTAACTTTTAGCATTAGTTGGCAGAAAGTCAAAGTCCTAACATCCCTTGGCAAAATGCACCAGAGGCAGCTGCAACCGTCGAAGTGCGGAGAAGCAACGGAGAGCAACTTGCGGCGCCTCATCGAACCAGTCTCCGCTGCATAGGCATCGGCCTCACTCTCCGCTCAGAGAAATGTGCCTTGCAAAGCTAGGTCTCCAGATTTGAGAGGTTAGAATAAGTTGGTACCAACGTTTTTGCTTTTTATTTTTTCTGTAGTCTATTAATCTTAGGGGAACCCTTGCAACCAAAAAAGTTGGGGGCACCAATCGCTGGGGGACCTAGAAAGGGTTCAGTGGTGTGGTTTGGTTCTCTGGTGCTTCACCCTGGGCCATCCTCCTGTTCACCGAAACTTCCATTTGCGTTTTCGACCCCTGGAGTTCTATGGGGAACAAAACATCCGTAATTGGTTGGTTGAGGTTAAAGGGGAATCCTGCCCACACCAAGGAAAACTTCCATTTGGTTGAGACCCCTAAAAAAAGAATATATATATATATATATATCTTATCCAGTAGTGAAATCGATTCCCTTTAAAACCAACCAGTTGGAAAATATAATATATTCCTTCCAGGAAATTAAATGGACGCCTGACTCCCGGGGTGTTTTGCTCAGGGTCCCGCAGGACGGGCAGCTGTTACGCTCCCTCACATTCGTCAACTGAAGGCACCAAGAATCCAAACTGGCAATTACACTGTGCAAATGCCCGCGCATCTCACATCGCTCTGCCTTTTGAGCAGCGCTTTTGGAAAATGACGCTAGCCGTGCTGTTTGTCGTCCCTCAAGTTTTGCCCCGCATTTGGAACACTTGGACTGAAGGAGATAAACACAAGTCAGCAACTGTCGCCTTGCGAATGCTGATTCACGCAGACCTGCAACGCCGGCAATACCCGCAGCGTCCGCAGAGTTGATTTTCCAAACATAAAGTCTAATCCGTTGCCCGACTGCAAATCAAGTTAAGGGGTACCTGAGTCAAAATCAAAACCCGGTACCAAAATGCTCTACCGCAGCTGTGCATGGTTGGGAGTATCCCTTACTAACGTTCATCTACCCGGGTTTTGAGCACGTGGCTCCGCTGGGCTGAAGAAAAAAAGACAACCTCTATTTCCATCAGTGACAAAACAAATCCCTTCAACTTGGTTGACGTTGGAAGGGTATTTTAGTAGTAGAGTGGGGATTTCCCACTAAACCACAATAAGCAAAAATGTAAAATGGTTCCCAACAACAACCATGCTCCGGTCTCTTGGAAGTCCCACGGCCATCCTTCGAAGCCACTCCCCGGCTTTTTTTTGTTCAGCTCCAAGTCCGTGGCAGGCTTGAGAGACCTCGCATGCATTATTGGCACCAAAAGCCGACGCCAAAACCCGGGGGCCAAGCTGGAATATCTCTGGATCTGTCGTTGTGTTTGTCCTCCTTTTTTTCACCCTTATTAGTATTGCTATTATGATAATTAAGTATCACCTTATTATTATTATGATAAGCATCATTGTTTATTATTGCTGTTATTATTATTATTATTCTTCTTCTTATTCTGTTTTGTCATGATTATTATGATTATTATTTGTCCATTACAAACTCTCATGAAGGCTTACTGTATATCACTGGGTTGCCACAAACGAGGGGGGGGACTTCTTCCCTTCTCAGCACCACTACAACGAGGGAAACCACTACCATCCAGCATGGGATTTCAATGATTTTCACCATTCCAGCAATCGCCCGCAACGCCTCCCGTCTCCCGCGATGGTGGGTTTCCAAGGACATCCAGGATCCCATCGTGTCCTTCATCAAAACCATCAACACTCTAGGGTTCAACCCCCATTAAAAGAAAGGTTGACTCAATTTGGATGATGACAATCCTTAGGAAAACAATGGTGGTTTTATGAACCCCAATTGTTTTAGTGGTGATTTGAACCCCTGTAAAAACTACCCAGAGTCACAATTGTCCAGCCACTGTTGCTGGTGCTCGGCCCCGGGGCTGCGACATGCATCAGGAGAGGGCGGGGACAACAAGCGTACATAGCCTTTTCTGTTGGGACTCGGCTGTGGGTCAAAACCAATGGTACCATTTTGGGCTAGGTGCACCACCCATTTCAGAACCTGTTTGAGTGGGGATTGAATCGGGTGTTCACTGGGGGCACGGGATTTTGACCCATGGCCACTCCACGCCAGTTTGCGGCTTCGAGGGAAGGGGGCGTTTAGCTGTAAGTCGATGTATGTCTTGACAATTCCTGTGCCTATCGCCATCGGGTCGAAAAGCGAGGCCCGGCTTGGACTGTGGCACACGGCAAAACCTCTATGTTCCCGAAAGCAAGGTGCGAAAGGGGACCGAACCTGAGTGTCATGGGCTGCTTCTGCAAAGCATGCCAACATGGAAAGCATCATTCAAAGGGGTCAATCATCTGGGCTGCCCTGGGACTCAGATCCCCTGCTAAAAGTTTAAAAAACCACCAGAAAAAGACGAAAGGTGAAAGTCCTAACATCCAAGCAACATGCACCAAAGATATATGAACCTCCAATCCCTTGGTCCATCTTTAACGATCTACCGAGCGGCTTCATAACTTCATGACCTGTCACCTGCGGGGTGGGGGGCTCACTCTTGACTCACACTCACTCACACACTCACTCACTCACTCACTCACTCACTCACTCACTCACTCACTCACTCACTCACTCACTCACTCACTCACTCACTCACTCACTCACTCACTCACTCACTCACTCACTCACTCACTCACTCACTCACTCACTCACTCACAAACTCACACATGCGGAAACAAACAAATAAATAAAGAAATAAACAAACAAACAAACAAACAAACAGGGTGTCTCCCCACACCGAACCGCTAAATCTTTAAATGCTTGGTCCCCTGTATCCGTTTCACGCAACCCAAAGGAAACCCTTTAACGTGTCTTTTCGTCACGCCCCTTCGGGGGCACTGAGCAAAACTGGGCTGGCGCACCATGGCATGGCGCAGATGCCGGATATGCCGGATACGCCGGATATGCCGGACGGTGCGTCACCGGAACTCGTCTGGTGGCTCGACTAAATAGGTGTCTCTTTCCTGGAGGGTCGCCGTTTTGGGGCGCCGTTTTGGGGTGCCTCAAAACGAGAAGCCCAAACAAAAACCACCGATTTTGAGTCGGTTTCCCGATTCTGAGTCGGTTTCCCGATTCGGAGACAAACCCAAATGTGCCTGGAGTCGTTTTTCTGGGTGCACTGCGAATTCCAGACTGCAATGCTAAGACAGTACCAGGGCTTCAACCGGTGCTTGTCAAAACGCATCTCTTTCGCACATACGCGCCCGGTTTCCTGTTGTGCTCGGAGCCAGAGCAGGCGCCAGCTTGCGACAAGGCCATGAGCTTGCAAAAAGGTGTGCCGACTCCGACAAAAATAAAACCATACAAGGCATCTAGGTCCTCCAGTGGAGAGGTTAGAATAAGGGTACCCTGTTCTTTTCTGTAGTCTATTTTAGTAGGGGAACCCTCCCCCCCAAAAAAAAGGGTGGAAGGGCACCTAGCTGGGGGACCTTGTCATAGTCAAAACCGATCGGTACTAAAATGCTCAGAGCTATGCTTCGAGAGTTAGCGAGGCAGGGAAGGCGCGCAGTGCTCTATGAACATGTCAAATATCTATTCTAGACTGGGAAAATCGGACCCTGGCAAAAATATTTGTATTTTTGCCTGGTTGGTGGAAAACACAGGGGACCCCAAAAAAGGAAAAAGGGGAGCTAATTCTGGGGAAGTATTGTTGGGAGTATCCCGAACTTTCATTTACCCGAGTTTGATTGTGGCTCATGTGTCAGCAGCTTGTCTACAAATTACAGTTGCCACTACGGTAGCATCTTGCTTGGCCAAAGTTCAAGCACATGAGCTACAGACACAGGGCTGTGTCGCCTCATCTAAGCAGTGTTGCAACTGGTGCGGGAATGTGGTCTTAGCTCCTTGGCGACTGCGCCCAAACAAACAATTGCCCTCATCTGGGCAACCTGATGATGTACTAATGCCAAGCATTGGATGAAGGCTAGCAAGCTGCGCAGTTGATGCTCATCCCACTGGGCAACTTTTGCACTTTCGCGCAAATTCGGAAATCCCTAATTTGGGATTGGAAGTGAGACCACTACGGAGACCGTGCGGGACTGATTGATTCTCTCCGAAGACCTCTCGAAACGCATTCAATTTGGAGGAATGAAACGTGGGAAAAGGACTGGCATGACAAATGACAAGGTTGGACAATCACGAGACTATCTACACTCTAGATACAACAACAAACCCTTATCTTCCATTTGGTTAAGACCATATATCCACTGGTGATAGATTCCCTACAAAACTAACAGGGGAAACTATTAAACAATATTCTGAAGCAAATGGAAGCAAGTCAGTGGGCTTGACATATTCCGACAGGATTTCCAGCTTGTGGTTTCGCGCGGAAGGTGACACCGCCGACTCACAGTCGGGAAGAGGCCTGACAGAAAGGGGGCCAGTGTTTTGGATCAGCTTAGGACAGCAAGCAGAAAGGGAATCCCTGCTACCTTAAGGGGGTGGGGGGTCCCACAATTCCGTATTTATTCAGCGGTATTCCTACCAAAGGGAAAATGGGTTATTACCCTTTAAAAAAACAAATCAGGGGTTGAAATCCTCCCGCCCCCAATTCCATTTTGAAGGGGGTATGGATGAAAGGGGTCCTTGGTACTCTTTGACAGGTTTGGGGGTAAAAAGGGGCTTAAGTACCTCCTCAGAACTGGGCTATCCTCAGATCCCCTGCTGAAAGTTTAACTTTCAGTGGGCTAAATTCGGAACCCAACCACTAGACCAGCTAAAAAGCTAAGTTGAATCGGATGGCTGGAAAAAGCTGAGAGAAAAGGTACCCTTTTCCTGTTCCTTTCTTATTTCTTCCTTTTTCCTGTTCCTTTCGCTTTTCCTTTCCTTTTCCATTCCTTTCTTTGCCTTTCCTTTCCCTTTCGCTTCTTCTGAGTCCAATCCCATTCTAGAATGCACCCAGAGAGCCCTTAGCAGCGGATTCAGGTCAACTGAATCGGCATCCCTGCTGTCAGAACCGGATGGGTCAGTGGTGAAGCTGACAAACACCATGTGGGCTTGAAAAAAAATAACTGGGCGCCCGTTGGTGATTTTGTTTTCTGAGTGGGGGTTCGTGTATTAAAGCTGCCTTGTTGATGACAACCGAAACCACTTTGCAATGTGCGATGCCCACGCTTCTCACATCCGTGGAAAATGGAACAGTTGAACAGCCAAATTCAACTTTTCACGTTGCTTGGTTGGTGTTGAAGGGAAACGAAAGGAAACCAGGAAAAACATGTTGAGGGCTCCCCTAAAGAAGAAAGACACACCCATGTTGTTTTCCTTGCGACGTTGAGCAATCCCTTATATACCTCGTTTTGATTTGAACCGCCTCGTCGCTGCTCGCCAAATCCATTGGTTTCAGCTCGAGCAAAGAGTTTGGCCCCATGAAAAACAACACGTTTGGTGCCGCAAAGCAGCAGCACCGGGGAAGTCACTCAGCTCGCCGAACCGAACCGTGATGCTCAAAGGAACCAACTGCTTCCTCCCTCAGTATCAACTGCTAGGTCGACTCCAGTAGAGAGGTTAGAATAAGGGTACCCTTTTTTCTGCAGTCTATTTAGAACCCTCCCCCACACAAGTTGGTGAACGAGCACTACTGGGGGACCTAGACTGTGTCATGCCGACAATCGCAACATACTTTCCCAATGGCCGCGATTCGCTACGACAAGATGACAACATGCATCCTCTTCGGCCTGCCGCGCGGAAGCTGAGGCGGCGGCTAGTAGGACAGCGCCTGAGACAACGCAAGCAGGCGGGGGGCAGATGTACTTGTTGGTGACTAGTCATTTTTATCTGCGGCATGCATACGTGACTTCCGGAGCCTCATGTTGGCTTGTTTGTCTGTTTGGTTGGCAAGATGATGGGCAATCAACTCGTAAGACATTCGCCTTCCAGCTCTCGTTGGGCTCTTGGATGCTTGCGCAGTTCGCCACCCCCCACCTTCGGCAGCAAACCAATCCCAATCAAACAAACAAACAAACCAACCCAACATCAGACAAACAAACCAAACAAGCCAAACCAAACCAAGCCCAAGCAACCAAGCAACCAGCCCAACCAACCCAACCAACCCAACCAACCCAACCAACCCAACCAACCCAACCAACCCAACCAACCCAACCAACCCAACCAACCCAACCAACCCAACCAACCCAACCAACCCAACCAACCCAACCAGCCACCCTGGTCTAGTCGATTCAACCAAAAGCCCCCGCTTCGGCGCCAAATTCGAAGCCGAGCGCTCCGAGGGCCCCCGCCGGTGGCATGGGCCACAGCAGCTCGGAGTGGAGCACCAGCTGAAAGGGCGCGATGAAGACCTGTGCAGCGAGCGGGTTAGGGGGGAAGTGGGGGGTGGGGGAGAAGTGGGGGTGGGGGCAGAAGTGGGGGGAAGTGGGGTGTGTGGGAGAGGGTTAAGCAATCAAAAAGGCGGTGATTGTTGTGGTATTTTCCAAAAAGTTGCTGCCTTCTGTTGTGCCGTTCCCAAAGCACGCCGAAGCGGGAAATTTGCCAGGAGCCCAGCCCCCCAAAAACCGCGCCTCCTGCACATTTTTGTTCCCGTTCCCAAGCCTGAAAGGTCGAAACAAGCCACCCCGTTTCTGCTCCCAATCAACCCCCCTTTCTCGCGTACCGAACCAGGCCCTTTTCCCTTTGCGAATGCGTCCCCTGGAGAAAAAACAAAGAACAAAACAACATATGTCCAGTACCGAAATCGATTCCCTTTCAAATTGAACAGGGGGAAGACTTAAGACATCTTCATTTCAGCCAATGGGATGAGGCGAACTAGTCGAACCCCCCACCCGTTTCTGCCTTGGAGCAAACCCAACCCCCCCCAACCCCCCCGACTTTCACCCCAGGCGGGTTACCGGAAGGTGCGTTGACCGCCGCCTTCGCGAACTCCGGGAAGGTGAAGAAGAACTCCGTGGAGGACTTGCCCACGATCGCCAGCACCTGACGCGAGCTGCGAGCTGACGACTCCGGCCTGCGGATCGGTCCTCCAGATCTGAGGGGTTAGAATAAGGGTACGCTTTTGTCTGTAGTCTATTATAGTAGGGAAACCCTCCCCCCTTGAGTTTTGAATCCGAGGTCCTGAAGAGATGTTAGAATAAGTTGGCACCAACTTGTTTTTGTCTGTAGTCTACGTCGGGGAACTCTCCCCCGAAAGAGTTGGTCAAAGGGCACTGGGGCACCTAGGTGCGGATCGATGCTGCGGATCGTGTGCGACCGGCAGGGGTACCCGAGCGAGCGAGAGGGACCCAAGTGCAACAAACCTCCTGTTGCGGGGGGGGGGGGGGCCTGATTTGTCTGGCCAAAAATGGTTGGTAACCCCAAAATGGCTGAACCCTGGTAAATGGAACCAAGGATGCTTTTCAACCAGCAGTCCATATCCTGGTGGTTTTTCAGCTTGACTCATGCCCATGTTTCTGACGCTACCCCTCCCCTCTACCTGGAGGGGGAGGGGGGTGGGAGGTCCCACAATTCCACGCATTCAATCTTCCAACCGCAAACGGGAAAATCGAACCCTAAATGGAATTCCTGGGGTCACCCCCCCCAATTCCATTTTGAAGGGGGGGATTGATGGAGGCACAACAAGCATGGGAATCAACTCTAGGTATTGCGGGAGTCTACTGAAAAACCGTGCACCACATGAAGAAATGTCCAGGCCGGATATCCGCACCGATTCGTGGTTGCTGTCCCCTACGAGCCTCAGTCTCTTCTTGCTGGTGCTCCGGGAATGAGTTGGAATGAACCTGATTCCTGAACAAAGGAAGCCGCCAGTTGGGTTCGGTGTATCTCGGGGTCATTCCCGCATTCCCATTCCCTCCCTCTCTCACACTGATCGCAAGAACCATCCGCGACGCATCTGCCAATCAAGCCCCTCCCTGGAACTAAATGGAGGGCCTTTATTTGGGGGAAAAAGCCATATTTCAAATGGTTGCAAAATGAATTTCTTTTAAGGAGCCCTGTTCCTCAAAGCCAGCTTCCAAGCGGCCCGGACGGCAGGTGACCCTTCGTCCCCTTAACCCAGCCATGGGTTTGTCTGGTAAACGCAGGGTATAAAACAACCCGTGGAAGCCATCTATTTCCAGCCAAACTTGCCTTCATCCTACTAACACAGCATTGGTGCGACGGTGCCTGGGAGAGCAATTTCCTCGCCCAGGGACCCGCTGTCGGGTGAAGGGAGCCGAACATTTCGGTTGCCACAACTCCGTTCAGTCGAACACGTCTCCGGCCAGAAGGCAATGAATATACCAGCCTCTTTGGGAAGACACATGGCGCAGAAATGGCGCCTTCGTAAATTGGAAACCAAATGCCCGTGGCTCAACCAAATGTACATAAAATGGCACCTTGGTAATGCAAACCCCGTATTAGTCTGTAACCCCCCCCCCTCCCCCCCCTTGAAGGTCGGAAGGTTTTGGGGCGGCAAGATTTTGGAAGGTTTTTTGCCTTGACCCCCTAAATAATCTGGAATTGAGTTTGCATTTGATTTAGTATTGCTGGAGCTTCCTGTTGAGATCTGGAATTGAGTTTCCATTTGATTCAGATTTGCTGGAGCTTCCTTGTGAGATCTGGAATTGAGTTTCCATTTGATTTAGTATTGCTGGAGCTTCCTTTTGAGATCTGGAATTTAGTTTCCATCTGATTTAGTATTGCTGGAGCTTCCTGTTGAGATCTGAAATTTAGTTTCCATTTCATTTAGTATTGCTGGAGCTTCCTGTTGAGATCTGGAATTGAGTTTCCATTTGATTCAGTTTTGCTGGAGCTTCCTTGTGAGATCTGGAATTGAGTTGCCATTTGATTTAGTATTGCTGGAGCTTCCTTGTGAGATCTGGAATTGAGTTTCCATTTGATTTAGTATTGCTGGAGCTTCCTTGTGAGATCTGGAATTGAGTTTCCATTTGATTTAGTATTACTGGAGCTTCCTTTTGAGATCTGGAATTGAGTTTCCATTTGATTTAGTATTGAGAAGGCCTGGTTGTCTTTTTTCGGGGGGGTGGGGCCGATGGACCGCACTAATTAGGGGGGGGGTTATTAATTGGGGGTGTAAGGGGCTAATGTGGGGTACCCTTTGAAACCTTCTAAACTTGATTTTTTTAGTAAAGGATTTCATAAGAAATCAAACTCTCAGAACACTTTTTGTTTTGTGGTTTGGGCAGGCCCAAAAGCATCCACCAAGCTTCAAGATGAGAGTAGGAGGTGGAGATCCCTAAGCAAGGCAGCAGTAGAGAAAGGTACCAGAAGAAAGCATGAGCCTATTTGAGCCAAAGCACCTTGTCAGGACACCATCCAGAGAAAGCATGGCAAGGAGCATGAGTCCACAATCTTCAACAAGCAGTGGAGAAAATGAGATAGCAGCAGCCATCTGAGGGAGGGACCGGTCTAATTGGGGTGGGTTTTTTGGAACCCTTTTCTATTTAGGGGGTAATTTTTGAGTTATGAATTGTTTAAGATTGGGGGGGTTCACCTGGACCGGACTAATAGGGGGGGATTACTAATACGCTGTTAACATTAAATGGAACCAAAGACTACCTGAGGTTTGCCATAGCTCTTTAACTTTGAGCCACGCCCAAATGATTGTCTTCAAAAGGAAACAAAAAAATAACCCTGGAGGTACGGAACCCCACAAACCATCCTTAGGTATCACTCTGGGTAAAGAAGTTCGATCCAACTCTGCCAAAAGGAACGCTCTCCTCTCACCCGAGCCACGTCTCTTCCCGTGCAGTGCTCCAGTCCCTGCCCCACCTCGTCCATGCTCGGCAGCTCCTCGCTTGCCTGGCTTGAGACGCCAGGCCCACATGCCATGGAAAGAGCCTCTGTGGACTTCAGCCGGCACACACCGTGCTCCAAGCTATTGTCTTTCCTCCTACATGTAGGTGCCAGGTCGGGTACCAACTTTATTTCTGTAGTCTATTTGGGTAGGGGAACCCTCCCCCAAAAAAAGGGGAGAGAAGGGCACTATGGAGGGTGAAAAGGGTGGAGAGAGGACATGTTGCGCAACTTCCGGCAAATTCAAATTTGAGTTTGCGCAGAACTTGACACAGACTTTCTAGGCCAGTGGAGCTCTAGACAACAAAGAGGCAAAAGGTAAACTGCAGAAACAAGCACCGGCACGCATTCTGCTGCTGTTAGGACAAGGATGGCAGCCAACATAGCGCCAACACGCAACACAACCCACACTACTCTACAACCCTTTTGGAACGAAACACTTTGTTTCTTGCGGCCCCCACATCAAACAACAACAACAACAAAAAACATGATCCAACAACCATGAAGCACGGCAGCAACAACTCGATCGCATGTCAGGGTCTCCCACCTTCTTGTAGCTCTTCTGAAGTGTCGCCGCATCCGGCTCCTGAAGATCCAGGCGTGAAGCAAGCCATCGGCGAACGGAACGCGCTCACGGAACTGCATGCACGGAGTGCAACCAATCAACATGGATGTAGTTCTTCCTATAAGCCCCATTAAAATAATACAAAAAGAAACGTAGAACCAGAAACAAATGTCCTGTTGGGGCTTTAGGTACAATCCTTGGCTGGAAGTAGGACCCCAGCAAAAAGCTAAGTTTTTTTGCCTGGTGATTAAAAAACAAAGGGACCCCAAAATGCAAAAAGAAACAAAAAGGGGGGGGAAGAATCAACAGGTAAAGTTTCATTTGGTTGTTCCTATAAGCCCCATGCGCAGTTTTGGGGTTTACCCACACCCACACCCCCACCCACACCCACCAGCCCCACCCACACCCACACCCCCACCCCCACCCACACCACCCCCACCAGCCACACCCAACCCCACCACCACACACCCACCCCCGCCCCCACCAGCCACACCCAACCCCACCCCCACCCCCGCCCACATCGGTCCTCTTCAACCATCGCATCGGACAACACCATTACGAAGCAAGAAACAAAACAAGAGTCTGCAGCATATGGAGGGTTGAATTTGAAACGCTTGTTTTTGAATACAAATCATGGAAGGGGACACACGCACGCATGCCGAAAACGCAAGCGGACGACATAACACCACGTCCTTTCTGGGGCACACAGGCACACCAGAACGTTCAAATGCATGAACCGCAAGCAGTTCCTTTCTGGGGCACACCAGAAGGTCAGGTCGGGCGTCAAGAAGGATCGGACACGCTCGCACTCACAACACAAAAAGTCTCGATCGCACAGGCCTCGATCGTGGGCCTCAGCTAGACCAATGTTTAAAAGGGCAACCGTTTTTGTTGGGTGCGCCTACGCGGCTGGCGCCACGAGCTCTCTTGCCAGGCACGAAAAAAGAGGGGAAGGCGGAAAAAACGGGCCTCCCAGCCGTGGCCGCCATGGCCCCGCCAGGAGCTGGACTCCTGCCAGAGCAAGAAAGGAGGAAACAGAAAGAAAAAAACGACAGTCCTCCGCCGACGGATTCGTCCTAACCAAGAGAAAACAGCCGAATATCAAAAAAAGGCAACGATCCGATGGCCTCCACACCCCCATGATCACCTCCATGATCACCCATCGCGGCGTGCGCGGCCAATTCCAGCTGGTAGACCTCAACTCCAGCACGAAATGCTCCGGCTCCGGCCTGCAAGGAGTCGCAGAAAGCGAGCCATGTGTGGGGGGCGGCAGACGTGGTGCAGCGAAAAACAGATTAGTGGTCAGATTTTGTCTACTTTTGCGTAGCTGGCACTAAGAACCATGGTTGGGAGGATTTGATTGAACTTCAAACAGCACCTAGATGGCACTAAGAACCATGATTGGGAGGATTTGATTCTGAACTTCAAACAGCACCTCTTTGTTTAATTCTTTTGCATATACCATTTGTTTGTTAGAATATAGGTGTGCCACACATTTCCCTTTTACCTGCCGAGGTACCAACCTGAACCAGACATGCGGGAGGCTATGACTCGCGGGGCGCCATCGCCTTTTCATCCTGCAACTGGGGATCACTTTACTGCAAACCTTCTTCATGACCGAGGCTGCAATGGAGCAGCGGGTTTTCACCGCCCGGACGTGTGGCACACAATACGCATGGGCATTGGGAAAGCAGGGTTTGCAAGCAGCTTACATGTTCAGCGGTTGCGAGTGGTCGGGCCGCAGCCTTGATGCCCGTCTACAAGCCCTGTCTGCAGACTACTTACTGTTTTGCAAAAAACGTTTCATAAGACGCGGTGTATCAACAAGATTGACAAAACTGTTATCGGCCCGGGCGGGGGTCAAGAACCAAATGGTCACTGGAACAAGGCAGCTTTGACGGTGACACTTCTGCAATTCCTTGAGTATTTGGCAGAGGACAGGCACAAAGAACACTTCTTAGAGTCGGAAGATCTGGAATGCATAGTTCCTTGGATGCCAATCTGGGTTATACATGGTTGGCCTTTTCATACTTTTTCCGCTTTGCAGCAAAAAAACTCTTTTACCTAATTGCGGAGTTGATGTTGGGCGCTCTTGAAACCATTGCCCTTGTGCATGCATCTGAGGCAGGGGCACCAAAGCCTTGAACAAGTTTTTGAGGGCCTCTATGCTCATGATTGCGGAAGCGGATGTGATCCTTCGTGCTGGAAAGTTTTCCTGCAACCTTACACACACACACATGGCCTATGTCAACCGCTCGAAGGGCCTTGCGGGCTTCGGCTTAGAGCTGCCTGCGTTGTTGTGTGCATGCTGCCTATTTGTTCAACACGCAGGTCTAGCAAATAGACTTGGCATATATCCTAAATCCACCCAAATCAGTTGAACATCGTATGAAAATGATGAAGAAGCACCGAGTGTGTTAAAAACCGTTCGGGAGTAACTTTTACTGTTCACCCCCACCTACCCCACCCCACACCCTCAGGGAGGACAGCGAGAAGGGCAGAGCAACAACGGCACAAAGGCTTTGCATGGTCTGAAAGGGTATGAGCACCGGCCCCCCGGTGGTTCGTCTCAGGGCGCGACGGAGAAGGCAATGGGCGGGCAACATCTGGCGAGGCGGCGGCTGTAGCGTTGCTTGCCACGTGCGCTGGCCTGCCACCCGGCCGAGCCAGCACGGCGCGCTATGGGGACCACTGGGCCCATCAGAAAGGAGAAGACGGAGCAACAGGCCCTGTTCAAGCTGGGCTGCAGCCTGAATAAGCGGCGGGGCTGCAGCGTAGCATAATGGGACCAGTATACCCGAAGGTGGCGCCCAGGCGAGAAAGTAACGAGGGCAGTCCAGCCAGTAGGAGCGTGGACGGAAACGCAGTCACCGCAATCACCGACAAGGAGGACGCAAGAGGTGGAAGCCGATGCGGTTTGCTCCCATTGCCGCAGCCAAAGGCAGACTCCAGCAAGGCTGGGGGAGTCGGGATCACATATACCAAGGGTATCAAGGAGGCCAAGCAACCCAATTTGAGGGAAGAGGGATTCCTCCCCAGAGCACAGGGCTCTAAGGGTGTGATCGGTAAACGGTGAGCGTTGGACGATCCGTAAGACGCTGGGCTCCTGGGAAAAGTACGTTAGTACAGAGCGTGGTTCAGACAGGGCCGGGTTGGGGTCAGCAAGAAGCGCAAGGGGGGCAGGCGCCGCGCCGGACACCTTAGGCTTGACAGACGGCAAGGCACGCAGAACATGCCAGTAGTCGTCACTGCTGAAGGGAATCCCTGTGGGGAAGGGATCAGAACAGCAATAGCCCAGCAAATACTTGTCGATCGAACCGATGACCTGCTGTCGAACACTTGCATATTTAGTAAGGAGCACAGAAGGTGAGCAGGGCTGCCAGACCTGCGGCTCAGCCTCACCACTCTTAAGGCGGCGGAGGTAATGCCTGCCTCTGAAAGCGGTAACAACGGCACTTGGCTTAAAATAGTTTCCTATAAGAAGCCGGTCAGGAATAGTGACATCATGCATGGCATCCTCCCCAAAACAAGTAAGCTCAGCATCGACGACGAAGCCGGAAGGGGAGCGCAAGGCGCCGGGTGATCAAGATAGTCGGCGAGGACAGCAGCAGCAGCCTCCTGTTCCTTGGTCGGGAGCTGTGCGACAGGGGCGCCCCACTGGAGGATTACCTGAAGGGCGCGGACAGCATCAGAAGGAACTCAGTGCAGGGAAGGTCAGGCCAACCCTGCTCACCACATCGGTCATGAAAGGCCTCGAAATTGCCAAAGTAAGCGACATGATACAGGAGGTGCCGGGGTAGGCGCTGGCAGTAAATCTGATGCGTCCGCGGGGTGTGAGGTCTCTGGTGCGCAGCCAGGGTGGCATGGGCGGCGTGTCGTTTGTGCCTAGGCTTGGGTAGCATCCATCCATGCTGCCACGGGTCAGCCTGCCGGGAAGGCAAGATGTAGGATGTGTTACTAACAAAGAAAGATATACACGACGTGGTAATGGACGCTCCTAGTGCCTGTGATGCCAAGTTTGCCCCCACCACGCCCAATCTTGGTGTTGGCTTGACAAGGCGAGCCTGCACCGAATAAAATGAGCGCATCTTCAGGAAGCAAAGCGAGAAACTCACTTAGTGCCGCAAAGTGTTGATGGGCAACCTCCCACACGTCAGCGAGGTATCGGACTGGAATCTTATTGCTCAGATTTACCCACACAGTAGGATCGTGGTGGTAGCCATGAACAGCTGAAATCACAGCTCGGATATCAGAACGAGAAGGGCAGATGGGGGTCCAAGTTCGGCAGCGAGTGCATCTGCAAAACTACCGCTGCCGTCGAAGAAGCTTATGATGCCGTGAGGGCGGGAAGGCCCGCATACAACACGCCGCAGCCGGAGCCGTCGCCTGGCCTGCAAGCACTCAAGGCCGATGGTGTCAGAGTTGCAGAAAACAGCCCCAACGATGAAGGGCAAGAGGTGTTCAACTTCATCACTGTTGATGTGCACAAGTCCACGGTTGGGATGATATGCTAGCCCGAGAGTACCGTCAAAGGCCTCAAGGTGAAGCGGGGTATCGGCCTGTACAACAATGAGCCCAACAAGGCGGAGCCGAACACGGGACCCATTAACATGGAAGTCGAGCGGACGGCCAAGGGAAGCAACAAGCGCCCTGGCGATAGTCGGGTCGGGAGATACGGCGACCATAAAAAGTGGGTGTGTAAGCCGTCCACTCGACGGGTCTGGCAGATGCAGCCAGGTAGTGTCGGCGAGCGGATGATCAAAGTGTCGAGCAAGTCAAAGACTCCTTTGTTGGCAAGATCTGGGATGCTTTGGACAATAACGCTGGGAGTTAGTGAAGCATCACAGCAGCCAATAGCAACATCAGCAGCGACAGCTTCGAAAGGACCTGCCTATGGTGGTCACTGCTGTTGGTCAGCCGCCAGGCGCCGAGGGCAAGAACACGAAGAACGACATATAGAGTCCGAAGGTCGAGCTGCCGGTCGCTGTGGGTGCTGTGGACAGCGAGGACAGGGGCAGCGGGAGGACTAGGCGGATTCACACCAACAACTTGCCCGTGAGCAGGAGTGGCCGAGGCTCCAAGGCAAAGGGCAGGAAGCAATTACATACATAGAGCAAACCGCCTTGGTGCCAGCCAATGTGAATAGTAGAGGAGTCATGGAAGAGGGGAACACGAAGGGAACCCTCAACAGCAATGCGACACACTATCGAGTACAGAGTGCATCGAGACCAGGGTCGGGCGGCAGTACGGAACATGTAGCTGCGCAAAGACTTCTTCCTCAACCCCATCAGAGCAGCTGGGCAACGCAAGAATGGGGAGGGGCGATTCAAGGAGGAGAGCCTGAGCTGAAACGTTGGACGCGCCGCGTAATGTAACGCAGCAGGCATTGATGGCTCCCCGCCTACCCCACCCCCCCACCCTCCCCACCCCCACCCCCACCCCACCACCCCACCACACCCCACCACACCCCACCACACCCTACCACCCCACCCCACCCCGCCCCACCCCACCCCACCCCACCCCACCCCACCCCACCCCACCCCACACCCACACCCACACCCACACCCACACCCACACCCACACCCACACCCACACCCACACCCACACCCCACCCCACCCCTCCCACCACCTACCCACACCCACACCACCCAACCACACCCCTCACCACACCCACCCCCCACCCCACCCCAACCCCAACCCCACCCCACCCCCACCCCAACCCCAACCCCACCCCACCCCACCCCACCCCCACCCCAAACCACCCCACCCCACCCACCCCACCCCACCCCACCCCACCCCACCCCACCGGGGAACCCTCTCCAAAAAAAGGTAGGGCACCTAGCTGGGGGACCCAGTCACAGAGCAAGCGTGGGGTCAAAGACCTTCCACCTCTGGTTTGGTACTAAAAAATACCATCATCCACTTTAGTCAATGATCTTTCAAACGATAACCAGTAGAACGGCCTATGAGTCTGGGCTCGAAGAAACATCCTCCAAACAAAGAAGCAAACAAGCAAGCAAGCAAACAGACAAACAGCCAAACACCCGTTAACAAACATACGACACCCCAACCAACAAAAACGAGCGCACGACAGATTGGTACTTGGTGCATCAACCCCATGAAAGAAGCAGCCTGGAAAGCGGAAGCGCCCGTTCACTCCAGCTGCGCAGGCTCCCCTGCTTTCAAGACATGGGGTGTGGCTCAAAATGTTTAGGGGCTGGGGCAAACCGCAGGTCTTGGCCCAAACCTGGGTTCCGCGCCTGCTCCGTGTCCAAGAGCTTCTGCACCTAGGGCCACTCAACCGACACGGCCGCCGGGGGTTTTCCGGGGAGCGGCCAATTCGCAGGGCTGCGGGAAATGGAAGCCACGAATCTGTGATACGTTACAAGGGCCTAACCCCAAAGACGTTCAACCCCCCATAAGGGGGAGACTCCCGAAGATATCACAGAAGTGGTTGGATGAACCCCGAGTGATCCCACAACCCTGTGCTCCCCTAACCCGTCTGAAGCCCATTTCGAAGGGGCGCCTTCCGGAGCGAGGTTATCACGGTTGGTCAGTCGGGAACGGCGGCTTCTGACAACACCTAGGTGCTCCAGTAGAGAGGTTGGAACAAGTTGGCGCACATGCTCTTTTTTTTTTCCGGCTTTGTCTATCTTAGTAGGGGAACCCTCTCCCAAACAAATGGTGAAAGGGCACTAGTAGGGGGACCTAGACACTAAACTTTCGCTAAACGAAGGGAGATTCCCTGAGTTCACAAGATTCAACACAAAACACATCCCACTATAATACGTGCTGTTCGGTCATTCCCCACTGAAGCGTTGAAGCAGAGTGCTACTGCTGCCTTGGGCAGACTCTCCCCCTACCTTACCTTGGTTGACGTTGGGTTAGGGGGGCAAAAAATCATTTGTTTAGCAGTTAAGTGCGATTTTTCACTAAACCACAATAAGCAAAAATGCAAAATGTTTCCCAACAACAACCATGTTACGGAGAAAACCAAATCCAGTTATCCAATATGCCCCACCTAAGGGCAACATGGGTTACCCTCCTACCAACTAACATGGAAGTGCAAAAAGGCCAGGGGTCTTTTTGCACCAAACCCATGTTAGCTGGTGGGTACCAGGGCAACTAGGTCCTCCAGTAGAGAGGTTCAATACCCCCCGCCCCCCCCGCCCGGTTGTCAGCATCCAAGGGCCCGGCTTTGAGGCACAGGCACAGAAGCTTCTTGTAGCAGGAGAAGACCAACTCGTGGCAGTTGGCCTGACACGTGGGCTATATGGGGGGTCAAAATTCAACCAGCCAGAAACCGCAGGATTTAGGTCTTGTCCCTATGTTTGACCATACCTGGACCTGTTGGCCCAAAAACACTGATTTTTTGTCGTTCACGCGAAAGAAAAACTTTTCGCGTGAACAAAAACGCCGGCGGTCATATTTGTTTGCGCCGAAGTCGGGAATGTTCGCCTGTTGGTCGGGAATTTTCGCCTGTTGGTCGGGAAATTTCGCCGGTAGATTTGGGGAGGTTGCGCTTCACACCCAAATTGAGAGAAAAAGCCGTAGGCCAAAAAAAACGCGCAATTGCCCCAAAAGGCAATTCGCAGCGAAACGGCGGACATTTTGAGCATGCAGGAAGGTCCAGGTATATCTTGTGCCTCTTCTTTCGGTCATTCGTCTGGGGCCATGAGTTTGACCGTTTCTAGGGGGTGTCAAAGTCAGAAAGCTTTTCACCCACCACTTTCATAATGGTAAAACAATGGGGTCTGGTGTCCTTGACCGGGACGCTCGGGACTATGCAAACAGCATCGATCCATCCTAGAATTCACAATCCGTCTCTGTTCCAAATTCCACGCAGCATTGCTCTCCTTTTCATTCCCTCCTAACCCTCAGTGCGCAAAAGCCAAAACACGGCAGCGGTAAGATCCTAAAGCCCTCCCCTTCAGACACGAAGAGCCTCCTCCATGGGCATCTGATTGCTGGTGGCTCTGCCTGGATGGCTCATCGAGCTCCAGGAACGCCTTGGGCAGGACTGTTACATTTCCGACAAAGCATCGGGGAACATCATTCGGAGTATTGGGATGCTACTTTGGCACCATACAGCATTGCGACCCTCGATTGCTTGGCCTTCCCTAGCAAACAGCATGTCCAGGTTCTCGCTATGCTCAGTTGCCGTTTGCGCTGTTGCCGTGACACGTCTGCAAACCATCCCCCCTACCTCAAGGGGGAATCGGGGTGGGGGTCCCCAATTCCATTCATCTAGTCTTCCAACCATAAAAGGGAAAATGGGCTACCACAGGGAACCACCTGAAAAGTGATTGGTGGACATGATTCCCCACCTAAATGATGTCCACGAAAGGGCCCCTTCTTAAAATTCATAGCCAAATGGAGACCTCCAGAAAATCGAAATCCCCCTCCCCCAAGTCCAAATCCCGGTGGGGATGACCCAAACCGCTGGCTCAAGTCCCCAAGGGCTGGGCCTTGAGCCTGTCCTCAGATCCCCCAGCCAAAAAGTGACAAGAACTTTTAGTGGGCGAAATACGGAGAAAAACCAACCGCTAAACACGACTAAACACCAAAAGGATCTAAAAAGCGAAGGGGCCGGATGGCTGGTGGCCACCAAGTTGATTCCTGAGAAGCGGCCGCGTGTTGCGTCTTTTAGCTCCTGAAACCACAACCGCACAAGACCTCTAAGTGGGTGCCAGTACCTCGCCGGCCTTAATGTTGACCCAGGATCTAAGTAGAACCTGTCCCATGATTCGGGGGGTGTTCCCTCCAAAAGCGGTCTGAATCCCCACTAAAAGGAATTGGACACCCCCCAATCAAAATCAACCAGGGGCTTAATCCGGAGCTAGCATTACCTTTTTGAGCGGCCTGCAACAAACTTGAAGCTGAAGTTTGCCAACGGCCCAAACCTGAAGAGTGATTCCTCGTCACCCGGCCTTGATGTTCACATGGGTGGTTTGACTCTTCCATTTTGAAGATGAAGGCAATTCTCTTTGGCGAATCTTTCGCGACTCCATCGCCGTGCTGTTTCTGCTGGTGCTTGCAGGAACAGGTGGAACGCGTGTTTCTCAGTGTTTTGCTCCAGCAGCAATGAGGCTGGAACGAAAGGTCTGGAACATGTCTGGAACGAAGGTCATCGAATGTGACCTGCGGACCCTGGGCCTGTTCCTCTGAGGGTTTTTGTATTACACCCTGGGATTACACCCCATTTAGGCACATTTCCGGAAAAAACCGTATTATTTCCCTAATACAAAAACGAAGTCGAGGTCCGGGCACTACCCTGACGCTGTGCAACTCCGTGAAGTGCAGGACCTGTGACCCAGAGAGACGATGCCAAGAGCGACCCAAAGCGTTCTGCAAGCTTCCATGTTGAGGGAGGGTTTGATCCCTTCGAACATGACCCTGCCATCAGTGAACATAGGCCCGGCGGTGTTCCATCCACAGGGAACTGTTGGGCAGCTTGGGGAGGGGGTCAACTACATAAAGCGGCAAAACCCGAGGGCGGTCTTTTGAACATTTCTTGGAGGCAAATCTAGATTCCCTTGCATTGATGACGTTTCGGCCAGCACATCGGCTGTACTCCTTCATTTCATGTGACTGGAGAAAGAATGCTTAAATTCGCTGCAGGTGCCATATCATTCCTGTAAACATCAACGTGCGTGACCTGGCGTGCTATATGAGCAAACACGCCATTCTGAGGTTCCAACAAATCTGGATGCAAAGCAGACTTTGGCCAACAGCCTGTTTGAACATGGCTCAAACAGCCCTTAAGGACCCCGTGTATGTTTTGTTCAATCAACGTTGCCAAGCCTTGCTACAAAGTCATTGCATCAACTGCAAGGTTGCCGCGAGCTACGGAAAAGTCTGTACCGCTCTCAGCATGCGCAGGCTTGGAATGTTGTCGTTTTTTGCAGGACCCAAAGGCCACCCTCCCCAAAGGCTACCCTCCCCAAAGGCCAACTGCTAAGGCCTTTGTTGGCCTTTGTTGGCCTTAGTTGGCCTTAGTTGGCCTCGTCATGCAAGCTGCAACCTGAAATATGTTGATTCAAATGTTGATTCATAGATCTCTTCCCATGCCACTTTGCTTGCAACCCATGAGTATACATAAACCTAGAAAACAACCACAAAATGCGTACACTGAACCTGCTGTGTACTTCTAAGCTTCATCCGGAAAACTCTAACGCAGCACAGTGAGCAAGAACAACCAAATCGGGGCCATTGAGAGAGAAGTGGTATGCTTCTGAGCAAGCGAACCATAGCAAACCTTAGCCCAAGGGTCCGAGCCATCCTTAGGAGGTCGTTGGATATTCTGGGTAGGTTGCTGGGGCAAAGGATCTCTGAGCCCATTCGCCCGAAACTGATCTAGCAAGGCTTGCGACACTCTCTCCGCAGATTGGTCAGCATTCCGCCCATGAACTACTGTGGATGGACAAAACCCATTTCGTTGGGTTTCCATGGTTGACACTATAACGTTCGTTGGTATTTGCAAGGGAATCATCCCAGGGTTTCTGAACGGTGGTGCGAACGGATCGCGTCCCACTACTGGTATGTGTGTGGGGAGGAAATTGACGAAATGCTGGCATCAAGGACACTGGAGGGGAACGCCCAACACATGATCCCGTTTTCCCAGTGATCCAACATGGCCATGGATCAAAATCCCGTACCCCTGGTGAACATCCCAGTCCCAACTAAAATCGACGAAAATGGGTGGCGCACCTACCATTGGTTTTGACCCACAGCCGCATGAGTGCCCGTCTCAATCAATGTGCCCTGCGTCGGTTACTTCTCGGCCGGGCTGCTCGGACCAAGCTCAGCAGAGCGGGCAGCTCGCCCTTCCTCAGCTTGGACGGCAACCCGCTTTTCAGCTCCCCTCTTCTCGGTTGCTTTCTGCTCCCCTGCTAAAAGTTGAACTTCTAGTGGTTTAATGGAAGACCCATTAGTTCGCAAAAAGTTAAAGCCCTAACGTCCAAGCAAAGTGCAACGAAGTCTTGGTGGCTTGGAGCCGGATCGGTGGTGTGGTTTCCCGATTGCCCTTACAAGAAACAGGGCTTCAAATCCCCAGTTCCCACCAACCCAAACCACCAACTAAGGATTCATTCTTCCTCGGAAGAAGTGCATTAATGGCGCCGTCTTCCTCAAAGCCCGGAACGCAGTCCTCAAAGACCTGTTCCTCCTTGGGTAGAAGGCTTGGATCTCCGTCCTCGCCGTGCTCGTCGTTCTCCGGGATATCGCCAACCCCCACCGGAGCCGCCATGCCTTGCATCTCCTGACTCTCCTCCTCCAAGAATCCAGCCAAAGCCCCCTCCGCGTCCTCTCCCGACTGTTCTTTCACTGGAAGGTTCCCCGGGCCCGCAAGGCATCCCGCCACTCACACCAAGGAAAGCCAAAAGAGAGCCATGTGACTCTTCTAAAAATCTGCCACGCCTGATGAAAAGTCGATCCAACACCAAAGATACCAACCCCCCGTCAAAGCAGGCATTGGCCACATCGGTGAGCTCGTTGTACCACCAGGTAAAAGGGCGTGCCACGTTTAAGCCAATTGGAACGAACGACACGTTTTGAACTGAGCTGGTAGTTGGGTATGTGTCGAGAATCACCAAAACAGTTGGCAAACAATTTGCTGATGGTAAGAGTCTGTAAAAATTGTCTGGCTCATCAGGCACATGCCAAGTATCATGGGCCTGGATGAGAGCGAGGGGAGGGGTGCCCTCCCCCTCCCCTCCCTCCCGCCCAGCCCGGTACCCTGCGCTATCACCAGTCATGCCTGGGATATGCAGCTATTAAACCAAATCCCAAACTGTGCAATGCCCGAGCCAGCAGAATATGGCCACTAGAAAGCATCGAACGAAACCAACTCAGAACTCAAACTCGGCTGCCAGAAAGCGCAATTGCTCGCTCTTGGGCTAGGACTCATGTCACCAAATCATGTCCTGGTGCCACAGAGGTGAGCCACAATCAACATCTTGCATAAAACTGGTATACCCAGAACCATGCTTCAAGAACTAAAACACAGGGCTCCCTATACTGCCCCTTAAAGCATCACCCCCCACCAAGGGACACTCACCTTTCATGGGCCAAAAAGGTGATGTTTAAAACCGCAAAAAAGGGAAATATAGGGACCCCTGAAAAAGGCGGCGAAGGCATCCATTTATGGCAAGGGACATGTCCCTTACTAACCTTCATCAGGGATCCGGATGCACTTTATACCTGAACAGGGAGCCTTACATTATACACCTGAACATTGCCTTGTAAATGGTGGTGTCCCTGTATTTTGGTGGAAAAAGCCATGTTTCAATTGGGCAAAATGTATCTTTTAAGGAGCCCTGCTGAACATTGCAACTTGTAAATGGGGGTTTCCCCTTTTTGCTGGGAAAAAACAATATGGTTCAAATGTTTGCAACATGAATCGTTTAACTGAAGCGCCTGTTCATCTACCCGAGTTTCGCTTTTGAGGACGTGGCTGTGGGAGGTATTTTAACTCCACCAAGCGTTGTGCTTGGCAGCTTCAGCCATGGATTCCCGCGTCTCAAAACACCCGCATGTCAATGTTGGCCATGCAAGCAACATGTAACGAACCAATGATAATCATATTTAACAAGCTTGGACATGCAACCGGGACAGAACAATACCAATAAAAAGGAAAACCAACTTGGACGTAGTCCATCCAAAGCCGGCTCACAAAAACATGCCCTTGTCCCCTTAACGCAGCCCCGGAGCCCTACAAAAACCCCGCCAAACTCAAGGCCCGGAGCAGCAGAAACCGTTCGGGAGCAAAAAAAACACGCGTGGCGGGGGAGGTTTCCTGGGTTACATTTGTTTGTTTTGGGCGCGAATTTTGGGTGCCCGAAACAGGTCAGCTTGTTTGAAAAAACGCGCTGAACCCGGACTTCTCTTTGGTTCGCTGTTCAGAACGACCGGGAAGACCCATCGATTTGCCCAAGACGGTCATCCACCGGTCAT